CTGGGAATTGCCATGGGATGGGATCCCCAATCCCAGCAGGGATGGGCCAGGCTGGATCCGGCCATGGATCAGCGCTGTCTCCATCCGGGAGGTTTGGATTTGGGATTCCCCTCTCCTGTGGGATGAGGGGCTCTGGATCGGAGCCTTGGAGCTCTGAGGGGCACAAAACACCCGGATGGAGGCTCCAGGTGGGAATCCTGGGCTTTTCCTCCATCCTCCGTGGGTGCCTCCTCGGGGAAACTCAGATCTGGGCAAGGATGGATCCAGGTGGTGCTGCCGGAGCTGGAATGGGAGTGCTGGGAAAATCCGTTCCCAGAAATCCGGTGTTCCTGCCAGGATCCAACAGGGAATGCTTTGGGTGGGAGGAGACCTTCAGACTCATCCCATTCCATGGGCAGGGACACTTCCCACCATCCCAGGGTGCTCCGAGCCCACCCAACCTTTCCTTGGATACCCCCAGGGATTCTCTGGGAATCCCAGCCCAGCCAGGAATCCCTTCCCAGGATCCCAGCATCCCAAGCTCCCCTTTCCCACTGGAAGCCATTCCCTGGCTCCCTCCAGCCCTTGCCCCAATCCCAGCTCTCCTGGAGCCCCTTTGGGATGGGGAAGCGGCTCCAAGGATTCCCTGGATCCTCCCCTGATCCAGCTGCACATTCCCAGCTGCTCTCCCCAGCCTGCCGTTGGATCCAGCCCCATCCCAACTCCTCCTTGAGAAGGAATTTCAGGATCCAGGGGCTTCACTGGGAATTGGGGACTCCAGGAAGGGTCTCCCTTCCCTTTTCCATCCCCGAATTCCATAAAAATCCCTTGGGATGGATCCTGAGTGTCCCTGATCCCAGAATCCCGGAATGGTTTGGGATGGGATCCATGGACCTTCAATCCCATCCCAGGGACAATTCCCACCATCCCAGGGTGCTCCAAATCCACCCCTGGACACTGCCAGGGATCCAGGGATTCTCTGGGAATCCCAGCCCAGCCAGGAATCCCTTCCCAGGATCCCACCATCCCAAGCTCCCCTTTCCCACTGGAAGCCATTCCCTGGCTCCTTCCAGCCTGGATCCCCCCCAGCAGCTCCAGAGGATCCCGGAATGGTTTGGGTGGGAAGGCAGCTCCAATCCCATCCCAACACCTCCCACCATCCCGGGCGGCTCCAATCCCATCCCACCTTTCCTCGGCCGTTCCAAGGGCAGAGCCCCTCGCTGCTCCCCAGGGATGATCCCGGCCATTCCCTCGGCATTCCGGGGCCTCCGTGATCCCGTGTCCCGCTCCCTCCATCCCGCAGATCCCGGCCGGAGGATGAGGCCCTGGGGGTGCCGTGGCCGGATGGGCTCCGTGGCGGTGCTGAAATATTCCGTGGTGGGACTTTACCTCCTGGTGCTCCTCATCCTGGTGGGAATCTTCATCCTGGCAGGTGAGCCTGGGCCGGGGACGCTCCCAGGACTTCCAGGAGTTTCCATGGGATCCCTGCCCGGGAGGGTTTTCCGCGTCATTCAGGGGAGGGAAAGTTGGGATGCAGCAGGAAAAAAAATAACAAAACACAAACAAACAAAAACCCCTCTAAAATCTATAAAAAAAACCCATTAAAAAAACCCCAAAGAACTCCAAAAAAATCCCTCCGAAAATCCCAAAACCCCATAAAAACCCCCAAAGAATTCTAAAAAAAATCCCCCCCCAAAAAACCCCAAAAATCCATAAAACCCATGAAAAGCCCTAAAGAATTCTACAAAAAAAAAAAAAATCCCCCCAAACCCTCAAAAAAAACCCCAAAAAAACGTAGCAAAACCCCAAAGAAATTTTAAAAATCCCCAAAAAATCCTCCAAAAAACCTCCAAAAACCCATTTCAAACCCCAAAAATTTGAAAAAAAAAATCCCCAAAAAAAACCCCCCAAAACGAAAAAAACTCCCCAAATCCCATCGCTCCCGCCCAGCTGGGTTTTCCTGGGATAAGGACGATGGGATGCAGGCAGGGCATTGTCCTGGAACATTCCAGAGCTTTCCCAAATTTTGCTGAGTGCAGGGATGGCGAAACCCCTTGGGAATGCCTGGAATTCCCCCCCAGCCCCTCGGCACACGCATTCCATGGGATCCCAGGCCTCTTTCCCCCTTGTCCTCCCGGAATAAATTTGGGAATTTCCCGCTTTGATCCCCGATCCCGGGATCTCCCTGGATGGGTCGCAAACACCGCCTCCGTGGATCCATCCCTCCTTCCCGGAGTTTATCCCGTTTTTCACGGTGGGAAGGGGTGTGAGCCCCCCCATTTTCCATCCCCCAATCCCTCCAAGGGCTGGGAAAGGCCGGAGGAGATTTTTCCTGGAATTCTGGGGCCTCTCCCACCGATTCCTGCCCGTGCATTATTCGGATGTTGTTGTAAAAACACATGAAAAACCCATAAATAACCCCAAAGAATTTGGAAAAAAAAACCCCAAAAACCCCAAACCCCCATAAAAAAACCCCAAAGAATTCAAAATAACCCCACAACAACCCCCCCCAAAAAAAACTCCCCAAAACCCCATCGCTCCCGCCCAGCTGGGTTTTCCTGGGATAAGGACGTTGGGATGCAGGCAGGGCCTTGTCCTGGCACATTCCAGAGGCCCTGCCTCCCCTTTCCCAAATTTTGCTGAGCTCAGGGATGGCAAAGCCCCTCGGCACACGCATTCCATGGGATCCCAGGCCTCTTTCCCCCTTGTCCTCCTGGAAGAAATTTGGGAATTTCCCGCTTTGATCCCCGATCCCGGGATCTCCCTCGATGGGTCACAAACACCGCCTCCGTGGATCCATCCCTCCTTCCCGGAGTTTATCCCGTTTTTCACGGTGTGAGTTCCCCCTTTTCCATCCCCCAATCCCTCCAAGGGCTGGGAAAGGCCGGAGGAGATTTTCCCTGGAATTTTCCTGGGCCTCTCCCGCCGGGCATTGTTTGGATGTTGTTGTTGGCCGGCGGATCCCGGAGCGAGGGATGCGATGGATCCGGGACAAGCTCCGCTCCAGGAAAAACAACAACAACATCAGCATCAACCTCTGGCACTGGGAATCTCCCAGTTCCCACCTCCCGGAATGGCGGGATTGGCAGAATTCCGGGAAAACCCCGAGAAAACCATTCCAGGTTTTCACCCGGAATCCTGGAAAAGGGGAGTGGGAGGGGGAAATCAGGGAAATCATCTCCGTGGATGTGGCTTTCCAATTCCAGTTTCAAATTTCTTTCAGAATTTTAGGATTTTGGGATTTTAAGCCAAGCCTCTGGATCTGGATGCGGCCAAATGCTGGAATTTTGAGCTGGGGGTGTCCAGAGGGATTTATCCCAGCTGGAAAACCACAGGGATGGGGTGGGATACAGGGGGCACATCGGCCACGGGGAGACAGCCCCAGCTCCGGGGCCTGGAGCCGCTGGTCCTTGGAAAACCGGGAATGCTCACGGACACCGCTCACGCCGGAAGGCTCAGATTCCCCATGGGAAAATCCCGGCCTGGGCTCCTGGAGACAGGAATTCCTCCCCAGCTCCATCTCCCGCCTGAGGGGAGAGGGAGTGGAGAGATGCATGGAATCATGGAATGGTTCCCGTGGGAAGGGTCCCGAATTCCACAGGGACAATTCCCGCTGCCCCAGGCTGCTCCGAGCCCTGTCCAAACTGCCCTGGAATGTTTTGGGGCGGGTGTGACCCGGGAATTGTTTGGGATCCAGCTGGGCCACCGTGATTTTCCTTGGAAAAGAGGTTGGGAAAAGGGTCAGCGGCATGAATCCTGGGAAACACCTTGGGATCCAGCAGGGAAAAAAATCAAATTGAAACAAAACAAAAAACCACCAAAAACCCATTAAAAACCCATAAAAAACCCCCAAAGAATTCGAAAAAAAATCCCCCCAAAAATCCCCCAAACACCCGAAAACCCATAAAAAAAACCCTCAAAGAATTAAAAAAAAAATTCCCTAGAAAACTTCAAAAAAAAAAAATCCCCCAAATAATCCCAAAAAAAGCCCAAAAACCCATAAAAAACCACCAAAGAAGTAAAAACCCCAAAAAATCTAAGAATCCCCCCCCAAAACCTATAAAAACCCCATTAAAAAACCCCAAAGAATTACAAAAACATCCCCTCAAAAATCCTAAAACATCCCAAAAATACCTAAAAAACCCCAAAGAATTCTTAAAAGGATCCCCCCCAAAAAAACACAAAACACCCCAAAACCTCATAAAAAACCTCCAAGGAATTGAATTAAAAAAAAAATCCCCCCAAAACCCCAAAAAACCTTAAAAACCCATAAGAAACCCCAAAGAATTAAGAAAAAAAAATCCCCTCAGAAAAACCCCAAAACCCCATTAAAAAAAAACATTAAAACCCATAAAAAAAAAAAAAAATGGAAATCCCTGCAGGAATTATCCTGGCGCATTCCAGGGCTCCTGCCTCCCCTTTCCCAAATTTTGCTGAGTGCAGGGATGGCAAAGGATCCCTTGGGAATGCCCGGAATTCCCACCCAGCCCCTGCACGACGTTTTCCCTGAGGGAATTGTTCTGAATTCCGTGAATCACAACAAAATCCCAAATATCCTGACGTTTTCCCCCCGGGAATGCTTTTCCCCGTAGTTTCCCATCCTTCCCCTGGGATCTGCTCCACCTGAGCCCCCTCCAATCCCTCAGATCCCTCCCAGGGATCCCGGGGATGAGCAGAGGGAACCGGACCCTGCGCCGCCCCAGGAGGAGAATCCCGGCCGGAATTCCGGGACAAACTGTGGGATTCGGGAGCAGGGACTGGGAAGGTGCCTGGAGGAACCTGGTTCCAGCTTGGACAGGGCTTGGAGGGACAGGGAGAGGTGTCGGGGTTGGGATGGGGTGGGGCTGAAGGTCCCTTCCCACCCAAACCATTCCAGGATCCTCTGGAGCTGCCGGGATGGATCCAGGCTGGGGTTCTGTGTCCTGGCAGATAAATCCCATGGGATGCAGCTCTGAGGGATCCAAGGAAAACTCTGAGCTCCAGGGAATCCTTGGAGCTGCTTCCCAAGCCTCAAGGGGCTCCAGGAGAGCTGGGATTGGGGCAAGGGCTGGAGGGAGCCAGGGAATGGCTTCCAGTGGGAAAGGGGAGCTTGGGATGGTGGGATCCTGGGAAGGGATTCCTGGCTGGGCTGGGATTCCCAGAGAATCCCTGGCAGTGTCCAAGGGTGGATTTGGATCACCCTGGGATGGTGGGAATTGTCCCTGGGATGGGATTGAAGGTCCATGGATCCCATCCCAAACCATTCCGGGATTCTGGAATCAGGACACTCAGGATCCATCCCGAGGGATTTTTATGGAATTCGGGGATGGAAAAGGGAAGGGAGACCCTTCCTGGAGTCCTGAATTCCCAGGGAAGCCCCTGGATCCCGAAATTCCTTCTCAAGGAGGAATCGGGATGGGGCTGGATCCAATGCCAGGCTGGGAGAGCAGCTGGGAATGTGCAGCTGGATCAGGGGAGGATCCAGGGAATCCTTGGAGCCGCTTCCCCATCCCAAAGGGGCTCCAGGAGAGCTGGGATTGGGGCAAGGGCTGGAGGGGCAGGAGCCAGGGAATGGCTTCCAGTGGGAAAGGGGAGCTTGGGATGCTGGGATCCTGGGAAGGGATTCCTGGCTGGGCTGGGATTCCCAGAGAATCCCTGGATCCCTGGGGGTTCTCAGGAAAGGTTGGAGCACCCTGGGATCATAGGATGAGGTGGAACGGGTTGAGCTTCACGGCTCCTCCCCACCCAACCCCTCCCAGGGCCCTCCCGCCCTTCTCCAGCACCCGCCCTCCTTCTCCAGCCTTGCATTCCTCACATGGGGGGAACCCGCCGGGCCGGGACCTTCCCCTGCAGGCACCGAGGAGCCGGGAACGTCCTCGGGAGGCCCCCCCGGGGCTCCTCCTGACCTCGCTCCCTGCTCCACCGCAGCGTCCCGGCCCCAGGCGTCCCCCGAGGAGCTGAGGGCGCTGCTGGGCGACGTCCAGCGCCTCAACGGGACCTTCCGGGACCTGCAGCTGCGGCTGCTGCAGCGCCCCCCGGCCCAGGCCGACCTCCTGGAGCACGTCTGGAGGCTCCAGGACCTCCTGCAGAACCACTCGGACTCGCTGCTCCTGCTCTCGGGCTCGCTCCAGCGGCTGCAGGGGCTCCTGTGGGCGCTGCAGAGCCAGGCCGGACAGACGGACAGCTCGCTGCAGAGGCTGCGGGACTCGCTGGGCCAGCAGAGCGACGCGGCCCAGCTGGAGCTGTCGCGGCTCTCGGTGGAGGCCAACGGCAGCCGGCTGCTCCTGGAGCACCAGCAGCACCTCCTGGCGCACCTGGGCGGGCGGCTGGAGGCGCTGGGCGAGCAGGCGGCGGCGCTGGGCGCGGCGGTGGAGGCCATGAACCGCAGCTTCTCCTACGAGCTGCGCCTGCAGAGCTCCCGGCTCCGCGACCTGCAGGGGCTCCTGGGCAACGCCAGCGCCGACGGGCGCAGGATGCGGGCGGCGCACGGGGCCATGGAGAGGCAGCTGAGGCTGGAGCTGGCCCTGCTCAACAACGTCACCGAGGAGCTGCGCATGAAGGACTGGGAGCATTCCGTGGCGCTGAGGAACATCTCCGTCATCCGGGGTGAGTGGTGGGATGGGGAACGTCTCCGTGATCCGGGGTGAGTGGTGGGAATGCTCCAGAACATCTCCGTGATTCAGGGTGAGTGTTGGGAACGTTCCAGAACGTCTCCATGATCCGGGGTGAGTGGTGGGAATGTTCTGGAACATCTCCGTGATCCGGGGTGAGTGGCGGGAATGTTCTGGAACATCTCTGTGATCCAGGATCAGTGGTGGGATGGGGAATGGTCCCCGCGCTCCTGTGGGCTGGGTCTGTGGTGGGGGTCAGGCCATCAGGGGTTGGAGAATCCCTGGATTCTCCAGTTGGAGAACAACTCCAGAGGAGTTGTTGAGGTTGGAAAAGCTCTCCAAGGTGGTGGAGTCCGGCTGGTCACCAGCACTGATCCATGTCCCCCCAAATCCACGTGGATTTTAACCCCACCAAGGATGGGGACCTCTCCCCAAACCGCCCCGGGCCTGTTCCAACCCTTCACAGCCCTTTCCACCAAGGAATTGTTCCCAATATCCAACAAAACCTTCCCTGGTGCAGCCTGAGGACCTTTCCTCATCCTGTTTCGTGTTTCTCGGGAGCAGGGCCCAGTTCCCAACCGGCTCCAACTGCTCATGGAGTTGTGGAGAGGGAAAAGGTCCCCCCTGAGCCTCCTTTGCTCCAGGCTGAGCCCCTGCCCAGCTCCCTCAGCCCCTGCTGGGGCTCCATTCCCTGCCCAGCTCCCTCAGCCCCTGCTGGGGCTCCATTCCCTGCCCAGCTCCCTCAGCCCCTCCTGGGGCTCCATTCCCTGCCCAGCTCCCTCAGCCCCTCCTGGGGCTCCATTCCCTGCCCAGCTCCCTCAGCCCCTCCTGGGGCTCCATTCCCTGCCCAGCTCCCTCAGCCCCTCCTGGGGCTCCATTCCCTTTCCCAGCTCCGTTCCCTGCCCTGGACATGCTCCAGCCCCTCCAGGTCTCTCCGGTTGGATCTGCTCCCATCCGTCCCCGCTCAGGTGTCTCCATCCCCTTGGATTCTCCAAATATTCCCCATCCAGGGTTTGGAAGGAAGCTCCCAAGGTTCCCTCAAAGCTGCCAGGAAAAACCAACCTCCCCCGTCCCATCTTCTCCTCCTTTCCCACCCTCAGCTCTTCCCAAATCCCGGAATTGTTTGGGTGGGAAGGGCCCTGAAATCCCATCCTGTTCCAACTCCAACCCCTCCCAGTGTCCCAGGGTGCTCCCAGCCCTGTCCAGCCTGGCCTTGGGCACTGCCAGGGATCCAGGGGCAGCCTCAGCTGCTCTGGGAATGCTGTGCCAGGGAGGAGGAAATCCATGGAGAAACCCAGGAGATCCCGGTGGGAGCTCCAGGGCGGAGCAGGAGGCTGGGAGCAGCTCCTGCCCCATTTTCCACCGGCTGCACCTGCGGAGACCCCAGGGGCTGTCCCTCACTCCTGGTGCTTCCAGCTGGAATTCCAGGATCCCGCTCCGGATCCCTCTCTGGATCCCACAGATTCCTACAGAGCATTCCCAGATCCCGATTCCCGATCTGTTAAAACACATCCCTGCTCCTCCTGCCCCTTTTCCAGCTCCCAGAGCCCGGCCTGGATCTCAGCTTCCTGAGTTCCCGGCTTTCAGGATTCCTCGGAAAACAGTTCCCAATCCTCGCCCTGGATGGGTGGGAATGAGCCTTCCCAGCCTCTCCCTGCCCTGTTTGTTCTTATCCCAGGAATATTTTTTTTCTTCCCTGTTATTTTTCTCTTCCAACTCCTTCTTCCCAGTGTTTTGTGTCCCGATTATTCTCAGCTTTCGGGATTTGAGCCTTTGCAGGATGAGGGATGTATTTTGCTGGAATTCCAGCTGGAATTCCAAGGCCAGGGCTGGTGCCAAGGCACTTGTTCCCCGTGTTCCAGCTGCTGATCCAGAGGGGATGGACGTGGTGGATCCCCAGGAGATCCAGGAGATCCATCCCCCTGGAATACCAACAGCTCCTGGGGTGCTCTCCCTCATCCCTGGGGGACCTTGGCTCCCGATCCCGGTTCTTGGGACGTTTTTGGGATGCTGGGATCACCCTGCCCCAGTCGCTTTGATGTTTCCCTCTTTCCCCACTCCTCGGATCCCGCTTTTCCCTCCCCATCCGTGGGGATGACGTCACCTGCTCTGGGATGAAGCCACCGAGGGTGGGACCCGTCCCGGAGCCCTGGAATCCCGAAACCAACCCCTCCCCAAGGGCCGGCACCGGATTCATCAGCCCTGACACATTCCTGGCGTCCCAAACTTCCCTCTCCTCCCATCCCATGGACGATTCCTGGGGCCCCGTGCCCAGCTGGATCCATCCCAGCTCCAGATGTCCTTGGGTGAGTCCGTCCTGTTCCCGGCTGGATTTGGCCGAGCCATTCCCTGCCTGCCTGCTTGGGGGGGCCTTTTCCTTCTCCCCAAATCCTCGGCTGTCCCCAGCTCCGCATCCTGGATCCTGGAATTGGGCAGTGGCAGCTTGGGAAGGTCCCCAGGCTCCTCTCCAGCACCCAGGGATCGCTCCGAGCACCTCCCGGAGCAGTTTTGGGAGTTTTGGGAGCCACCACGAGGGAGAATTCCCGGGATCTGCTCCGTGGATCCCTGGGTGGGATCAGATCCCAAAGGTGACAGGACGGTCCCATCCCTCAGGAAGCGCCTCATCCCGCTGGGATTGCAGGGTGGGAAGCAGGAACGGCGTTTCCCAGGTGTGACCCTCAGGAGCTGCGGGGCGGGAAGAGCTGGGAATGCTCCGGAGCCTCTCCCAGCCGCCATTCCCAGTTTTCCTCCAGCCCAGCTGCTCCCTGGGCCCCAGGAGCTGTTCCTGGGATGGGACCGGCCCCCAATGGGAGCATTCCAGAAAATCTGCGGCTGCCCCATCCCTGGAAGTGCCCATCCCAAGGGTCTGGGGTCCATCCCAAGGGTCTGGGGTCCATCCCAAGGGTCTGGGATCCATCCCAAGGGTCTGGGATCCATCCCAAGGTCTGGGGTCCATCCCAAGGCCTGGGGTCCATCCCAAGGGTTTGGGGTCTATCCCTGGGATCCGGAGTCCATTCCCAGGATCCAGGGTCCATCCTCGGGATCTGAGGTCCATCCCAGGAATCTGGGGTCCATTCCCAGGATCTGGGGTCCATTCCCAGGATCTGGGGTCCATCCCAAGGGTCTGGGGTCCATCCCAAGGGTCTGGGGTCCATCCCTGGGATCTGGGGTCCATTCTCAGGATCCAGGGTCCATCCCTGGGATCTGGGGTCTATCCCTGGGATCCAGGGTCCATCCCTGGGATCTGGAGTCCATCCCCGGAATCCAGAGCCCATTCCCAGGATCTGGGGTCCATCCCTGGGATCCGGGGTCCATCCCTGGGATCTGGGGTCCATCCCTGGGATCCAGGGTCCATCCCTGGGATCTGGGGTCCATTCTCAGGATCCGGGGTCCATCCCTGGGATCTGGGGTTCATTCCCAGGATCTGGAGTCTATCCCTGGGATCTGATGTCCATCCCTGAGATCTGGGGTCCATTCCCAGGATCTGGGGTCCATCCCTGAGATCTGGGGTCCATCCCTGAGATCTGGGGTCCATCCCTGGGATCTGGGGTCCATCCCTGGGATCCAGGGTCCATTCCCAGGATCTGGGGTCCATCCCTGGGATCCGGGGTCCATCCCTGGGATCCGGGGTCCATCCCTTATCCCCTCGGCCCCTGAAGCTGCTCATTCCCTGGGGAAGAGACAGCCAGGGCCAGTAATTCCATGTTTCCCATCATCCTTCCCTATCCCAAACCGTCTCCAGCTTGGGATGTTTCCCAACCTTCGCGTGGGTCAGGATCCCACTCCGGATCCCACTGCGGATCCCACTCCAGATCCCACAGATTCCTACTGAGCATTCCCAGATCCCGATTCCTGATCCGTTAAAACACATCCCTGCTCTTCCTGCCCCTTTTCCAGCTCCCAGAGCCCGGTCTGGATCTCAGCTTCCCGAGTTCCCGGCTTTTAGGATTTCTTGGAGAACAGTTCCCAAACTTCCCCCTGGATGGGTGGGAATGACCCTCCCCAGCCTCTCCCTGCCCTGTTTTCTCTCATCCCAGGAATATTTTTTTCTTCCCTGTTGTTTTTCTCTTCCAACTCCTTCTTCCCAGTGTTTTGTGTCCCGATTATTCTCAGCTTTCGGGATTTGAGCCTTTGCAGGATGAGGGATAAAACCTGGGATTGGGATTTTCCGCATGTCCCTGGGATTTTACCAAAATCCTGCTGTCGGTCCTCTCCTCGAGGATCATCTCCAGAAGTCCCTGCCCCTGGATGATCCTTAAAATCCTTTCCAACCCCCAAAATTCCAGGATCCTATGAACATTCCCAAAGTGCCTGTTTTCCCTGATTTCTTGCAAAGATTTCATTGGGAATGTCCCGGCTTCTGGTCCAAAGGAAAATTCCCGGAGTCGCCCTCAAGGTGGAGCTTCCAGGTGAATTTTCCTGGCACTTGGAGCAGGTTGGTGGGATCCAGCTTGGAATTTCAGATCCACAAATCCCGGAGGTTTAAAATCATGGAAAACTGCTTTGTCCCGGCTTTGTTCCCACGTTTCTTGGTGATCCTGGAGCTCCTGGAGCTCCCGCTGCACATTCCCAGCTCCGGGATGTGATCCTGGAGCTCCTGGAGCTCCCGCTGCACATTCCCGACTCTGGGATGTGATCCTGGATCTCCTGGAGCTCCTGCTGCTCATTCCCAACCCTGGAATGTGATCCTGGATCCCCTGGAGCACATTCCCAACCCTGGAATGTGATCCTGGATCCCCTGGAGCTCCCGCTGCTCATTCCCGACTCCGGGATGTGATCCTGGATCTCCCGGAGCTCCCACTGCTCATTCCCAGCTCCGGGATGTGATCCTGGAGCTCCTGCTGCACATTCCCGACTCCGGGATGTGATCCTGGATCCCCTGGAGCTCCTACTGCACATTCCCAACCCTGGAATGTGATCCTGGATCTCCTGGAGCTCCCGCTGCTCATTCCCGACTCCGGGATGTGATCCTGGATCCCCTGGATCTCCTGGAGCACATTCCCAGCTCTGGGATGTGATCCTGGATCTCCTGGAGCTCCCGCTGCTCATTCCCAGCTCCGGGATGTGATCCTGGATCTCCTGGAGCTCCCGCTGCTCATTCCCAGCTCCGGGATGTGATCCTGGATCCCCTGGATCTCCTGGAGCACATTCCCAGCTCTGGGATGTGATCCTGGATCTCCTGGAGCTCCCGCTGCTCATTCCCAGCTCCAGGATGTGATCCTGGAGCTCCCGCTGCACATTCCCAACCCCGGGATGTGATCCTGGATCTCCTGGAGCTCCTGCTGCACATTCCCAGCTCCGGGATGTGATCCTGGATCTCCTGGAGCTCCCGCTGCACATTCCCAACCCCAGGATGTGATCCTGGATCTCCTGCTGCACATTCCCAACCCCAGGATGTGATCCTGGATCCCCTGGAGCTCCCGCTGCTCATTCCCAACCCAGGGATGTGATCCTGGATCTCCTGGAACTCCTGGAGCACATTCCCAACCCTGGAATGTGATCCTGGATCTCCCGGAGCTCCCGCTGCTCATTCCCAGCTCCGGGATGTGATCCTGGATCCCCTGGATCTCCTGGAGCACATTCCCAGCTCCGGGGTGTGATTCCCGCCCTCCCGTTGTGTTCCAGGGCCGCCGGGACCCAAAGGAGACCGAGGCACGGAAGGGATGGAGGGAGAGCCCGGCCTGCCCGGCCTGCCCGGGCTCCGAGGTAAGGAAAACATTCCCGGTGTCCATGAAACCCCTCCCAGATCCCATCCTGAAATGGGAATCCAAATCCAAACCCAGCGGGACAACCCCCAGTGCTTCCCCACCCTTCCCTTGGGATGTCCCAGCTCCCGAGGGACACGGGGATGGATCTGCTCTCCCGCCTCATGGAGCACCCATCCTGGGTGGGAAAAACCTCCTGGCCTGCCTGGATCCAGGAAATCCACGCTGATATTCCCAGATTTCCAGGGTGTCCCAGGATCTCCAGGAAATCCATGCTGATATTCCCAGATTTCCAGGGTGTCCCAGGATCTCCAGGAAATCCACGCTGATATTCCCAGATTTCCAGGGTGTCCCAGCCAGGCTGGAGCAGGAATTGGCCACCCCATTCCCAGACAGAGCCTTCCCAGGCACCAGGGCTGGAATTGCTGCTGGATCCCTGGATCTGGCAGATCCCAGGAACCCGACAGAGGGGACTTGGCTCTGGAATTTTTCCAGAATTTTTTTTTTCCAATGCCAGTAATGCCAATTTTCCCACCCCCTGTTCTTAATTCCATTGTTTTGGGGAGGAATTCCATGGGAAGCCACCAGAGGACATTCCCACCCTGAGGAAGGCTTGGCTCCAGCTGTTTCTGATCTGAAGGAAACCTGGGAATGCCGGCTCAGCTTCCAAGGGCTGGGAATGGCGCGGAGCCGGGGGCAGGATCCCCCTGGGGACAGCTTTGTCCCGTGGAGGTGACGGGATCCATCCTGCCGGGAGCAGGGATCCGCTGGGATCCCGCAGCATGGAGCCCCAGGGCCAGGAGCAGAGCCAGGCCTGCATCCACATCCAGGTCCAGATCCAGATCCAGACCCAGATCCAGCTTTGGACTCATATCCAGGTCAAAGTTTGGGTCCAGATCCAGGTCCAGATCCAAGTCCAGGTCCAGGTCCGAGTCCAGGCCCAGATGTGGATCCAGATCCAGGTCAAGGCCCAGTACTGGATCCAGATCCACATCCAGATCCCGATCCAGATCTAGATCCAGATCCAGATCCAGATCCAGCTTTGGACTCATATCCAGGTCAAAGTTCGGGTCCAGGTCCAGGTCCAGGTCCAGGTCCAGGTCCAGGCCCAGATGTTGACCCAGATCCGTGTCCATTTCAATGCCCAAGGCCTGGTCAAGGTCCAGCACCAGCTCCAGGACCAGATTCAGGTCCAGGTCAAGGTCCAGGACCAGGTCCAGACCAATCCCTGTTATCCCCTGCTCCAAACTCACCTCACAGGACTCTGGATGTCAGAGGCAGGTCCAGGTCCAGGTCCGGACCCAGATCCAGACCCAGACCCAGATCCAGGTCTAGGTCCAGACCCACATCCACATCCACACCCAGACCCAGACCCAGATCCAGACCCAGACCCAGATCCAGACCCAGATCCAGATCCAGATCCAGACCCAGATCCAGACCCAGATCCAGACCCAGACCCAGACCCAGACTGAGATCCAGATCCAGACCCAGATCCAGACCCAGATCCAGACCCAGACCCAGATCCAGACCCAGACTGAGATCCAGATCCAGACCCAGGTCCAGACCCAGACGCACATCCACATCCACATCTAGACCAAGAACCACATCCAGACCCAGACCCTGACCCAGATCCAGACCCAGATCCATATCCAGACCCAGACCCACACTCAGACCTAGACCCAGATCCAGACCCACACTCAGATCCAGACCCAGATCCAGACCCAGATCCAGACCCACACTCAGCCCCAGCTCCAGCCCCAGCTCCAGATCCATGCCTGGAATCCTCTGCTCCAAGGATTCCGAGGCACCACGACCTTGCTGGGGCTGCTTTGGGCTCAAACCCTGGGATTTTGGGATCGCTCCCTCCCCGGCCCAGCCCATGGAGGCAGAGCCAGCCTGGAAATCCGATCTGCCTCGGCCAGGCCCTCCAGCTGCCCGTGTTCCTTCTCCCTCCAGCTGGAATTTCTGGCACTGACGGATTCGTGGCTGTTTTTCTTGGGTGTAACAACCCTCAGAATTATATTGGCTGTTTTCCTCAGTTTTCCTTTTTTTTCCCCCATTTTTTTTTCTTGTTCAAACAGAAAAACAAAGCAATCCCAGGAGGGTTCACCTTCAGGAAGAGCCACGATTTTTAGGTCTTTTCCTGGAGATTTTTGGGATGCAGGCACCACCCTTTGGATCTGAGAAGGTTGGGTTCAGGTGTATCCCTGGAAAATCCCCTTTCCTAAGGAAAATTCCCTTTTCCATGGAAAATCCACCCTCCTGCCCCCACCCTGCAGAAATCCAGGCCTTGATCCCTCCTGGGGATGGACACAGCAGGGAAAGATTGGAGCTGGGGATAATCCCCGCTGCTGGAGCTGGGGCTGGAATTCCTCCTGGAGGATTTCTTTCCTCGTAAACCGGAGGAAAATCAGGACTCAGTTTGGAAAAGCCCGGCCCAGGAAGGGCGGGGGCAGCGGTGCCTGGGGAGTCCAGGGCTCCCTCCACACGGACAGAGCCGGGCTTAAACCCTGGCGGAGCTTTGGACCCGAGCCCGGCTCAGGCTTGGGCTGAGCCCTGCCTGGATCGATCCCGTGGGACCATCCCAAGGTCCCAGCAGATCCCGTCTCCAGCACAGGGTCCCTCCCTCCAGCCCGGAGCCAGACCTGGATCCAGGTCCAGGACCAAGCTGGGGGCCAGGACCAGATGCAGATCCAGGTCCAGACCCGAGTTTAGATTTCAGATCCAGACCCAGATCCAGGTCCAGACCCACATTCAGGACCACGATCAGGTCCAGGATCAGATCCACAACTGGATCCTGGTCCAGATCCAAGTCCAGATCCAGGACCAGATCCAGGTTCAGGTCAAAATCCAGTTCCAGAGCCAGGACCAGATCTGGGTCCATGCTCGGGTCCAGGACCAGGACCAGATCCAGATCTGGGTCCAGGACCAGGATCAGGAGCAGATCCAGAACCAGGTCCAGGAGCAGGACCAGGTCCAGGTCCAGGAGCAGATCCAGAACCAGGTCCAGGTCCAGGAGCAGGTCCAGGAGCAGATCCAGATCTGGGTCCAGGTCCAGGTCCAGGAGCAGATCCAGGTCCAGGTCCAGGTCCATGTCCAGGTCCAGGTCCAGGTCCATGTCCATGTCCAGGTCCAGGTCCAGGAGCAGATCCAGGTCCAGGTCCATGTCCATGTCCATGTCCATGTCCATGTCCAGGTCCAGGAGCAGATCCAGGTCCAGGTCCAAGTCCAGGTCCAGGAGCAGATCCAGGTCCAGGTCCAGGAGCAGATCCAGGTCCAGGTCCAGGAGCAGATCCAGGTCCAGGTCCATGTCCAGGTCCAGGTTCAGGTCCAGGTCCAGGTCCAGGTCCAAGTCCAGGTCCAGGAGCAGATCCATGTCCAGGTCCAGGTCCCACACGGATGGAGGTCACCTCCAAGGTTCGGATGTGTCCCCTGTGAAGGAATTCCCAAACTCCAGCCCAATTCCCGCCTCCTGGAGGCAGGGAATGCCCACACCAGGGGGTTCCATCCCCCTCCTTCTCCAGCAAACCTCCAGCCCCTTGGACAGCGTGGATCCTGGAGACCTGGGGCTCGGGGGGACACATCCCAACTCCTCAGGGCAGATCCTGGTTCCCCTTCCTTGATCCCCAGCTTTGGAACCCAATTTAGGCTGGCTCCATCCCAGCCTAAGGATGCTCAGGAATTCCTTAGCACCCGGGTAAATCCATCCTGGATCCCAGAGAGAACGATGGGGCTGTAAGAGCCAAAATGAGAGATGCAGGCCCCCAGGCATTTCCCTCCTCCCCCCCATTATTTTTCTATTCAAATTCCTTGTTCCCATTGTTTTGGCTCCTGATTATTTTCAGCTTTTGGGATTTGAGCCTCTGCAGGATGAGGGATAAAACCTGGGATTGGTTACTGTCCTAGGGTGAATTCTATAATTTTCTTTTGGTTACATTGCATTCTAGACTTTTCTTTTGGTCACAATGCATTCTATTCTTTTCTTTTGGTTACAATGCATTCTATTCTTTTCTTTTGGTCACATTGCATTCTATACTTTCTTTTGGTTACAATGCATTCTAGACTTTTCTTTCCTGAGCATCTTCACACAGTAGAACCAATCTACACCTTAATTTTACCTATAGCCTATCATAACTGCTATAATTACCATATTCATGTCCCTGTTCTCCAATCACTCAAAGTCAGTGCATTGCAGTTTAAGCCAGAAGTTGTTTCTCAGTTTTCTTGCAGTGGAAAATTCTGAGACCTTTTTTTTACTTCTTTGCCTGTGCTCTCTTTCTGCTTGGTAAAAGCATCTCCTTGTTTGGGGTGGGTTTATCCTTTGCTCTAAGCCATACAAACCCCTTCTAACTCACACACCCTTTGCCTCCTTGGTTATCCAGTCAGACTGGCTCAGCAATTCTTTTCTTCTATATCAAAACTTGCTTCCATCTCTATTCCTTCATCAGACTCCACATTCACAAATCTTTCTGCCAAGCACCCACATCTGTGACCCTTCCTTGTCAAACTTTCACCCTCCCAGCACGGGACGGACTCTCCGGGCTCTCCCGGCGTTCCCAGGTGCCTCGGGGTTGTGGAATTCTGCTGGAGCCGCCTCATTTTGTGTCCCTGCTCCTCATTCCAGGCCTCCCCGGGGAGCGGGGCCTGCCCGGCCCGCGGGGGCTGAAGGGGGACCAGGGGGAGCTGGGCCCGCGCGGCCCCGCGGGAACGCGGGGGCTCAAAGGTAGGGAGGCGGATCCCGGCGGGAATCCGGGATCACACGGGCTCCGGAGATCCCGGGATGAGGGGGGCCGGGGGATCCGCTGGCTCGGGAACCGCCCGGACCTCCTGGAGGAACGGGAATCCCAACAAAACGGATGGATTTGGGATGTCCTCCCACTCCACGGGGCTCTGGCAGGGATTTGGGAATGGTCTCCTGGTGTTTCCTGGGGTGTTCCCGGCTGGCTGCGGTTTCCCATCTTCCCAGGAAAACTGTGGGAGTAGGGAGTCGGGATTTAGCGGGACACGGCTGCCCCCGGACACCTGGGATGGGAAATTCCCAGCTGCAACCAAAAAACCCCAAAAAATGCCCTTTGTGCAGGATTGAAAACCCCAAAAAATGCCCTTTGTGCCTCAAAATTCCTGCTGGGGAGGCTGGAAGGGAAAACATCCCAGGAAGAGCTGGGAATTGTAGGGAATAGAAACCTGGAGGTGTTTGGGATCAGGATTGGGATTGGGATTGAGATTGGGATTGGGATTGGGATTGGAATTGGGATTGGGACTGGGATTGGGACTGGGATTGGGATTGGGATTGGGATTGGGACTGGGACTGGGATTGGGATTGGGATTGGGATTGGGACTGGGATTGGGATTGGGATTGGGATTGGGACTGGGATTGAGATTGGGATTGGGATTGGGATTGGAATTGGGATTGGGACTGGGATTGAGATTGGGATTGGGACTGGGACTAGGATTGGGATTGGGATTGGGATTGGGATTGGGATTGGGACTGTGTGGGAAGGAACCTTAAAGATCCTTGAATTCCACGCCCTTCCACATCTTCCAGTACCCCAGGTTGCTCCAGGAGGTTGGAAAACCCCCTGGATACATCCCTGGAGCACCAGGAATGTCGGGGTTTCCTCACTGGCTCTTGTCAAGAGCTCCTTAAATCCAGAAAATGATCCCAAAAATCCCCGGCTGGTTGGGTTGGGATTTGCCGGCCCCGATGCTGGATCTGCTCGCCGGGGAATCCTGGAATTGTTGGGGCTGGAAAAGTTCTCGGAGCCCAACCATTCCCACCCCAGTCCGCATCTCCATGAGCCACATTCCCACGGATCCGGATCCCTTGGGAATGGCAGCTCCACCTCTGCTCTCCATGGTCTCTCAGGGCTTTTCCAACCTCGGCAATTCCATGAAAACCCCAAAGCCATTCCCGGATCCCATCCCCATCCCAGGGATCCCTGCTGTCCCCACTCCAATGTGTCCCCCCCACCCCAGAGATCGGGAATGTCGGATCCAGGGGTTCATCCCACCCCTTTTCCAATGGAATTCCAGCCCCTCTGGCAGCGCCCGGGCAGTTTCATGGGATTCTCTGGAATTTACGGGAAACAGACCCGGGCCCGGGCACGGATCCAGAGCCAGGCTTTGCCTTAAATCCCAGATTCCTGCTGGACCCTTCTCCAAGGACTCCCTGCCGAGCACAGGAGCCCTCGGTTCCTCGGGAATCGCATCCCAGGAATCCTGGGATGGGGTTTTAGGTGTGGAGGAGCCTCCTCGTGGAAATTTCCAGGTTCAAACCTCTCCCGGAGGGGCTCCGGCCTGCCAGAGGAACAGCAGATTCCCAAGTCCTTTTCCTCGCTGGTATTTTCCCACTTTCGATGGGTTTTTCCTCAAAATGACCCCAGTGGGGAATTTTTTTCCTCATTTCCAAATGGGAAAAATTATCCTGGGATGTGAGGACAGATCCATCCCCCCCCACTTTTCCATGGAAAAGGTCGCGCAGGGAATACGCTCAGGAGGAAAGCGCAGGAAAAATCCAACCTGGGATCGGAATTCGGGGATAAATTCAGGGGGAAAAGAGAAGATTCCTTCAGGAACATCCCCAGGGTGGAGTTTTTTGGGAATGTTCCTGGAGGCAGAACCTGATTCCACCCGGAAAGATGGGATCGGTGGATTCTCCTGAGGCTTTTCCCAGGATTTTGGGATCCACCCATCCCTGCAGATCCGTGGGAGGAGCTGAGGGTCTCTGTCACTGTGCCTGGGCCTGCGTTCTGTGCCCAATCCCAAAAAAACAAAAAAAAGATGGGAGAAGGGCCTGGAATGCTCTGGTGGTGTCTGGGGGAAGGCGCCGGGCAGGATGGAGCAGGAGAAGCCTCTCCCAAATTCCCGGGCTCTGTCCCAGCCCCGAGGCTCCCTCCGGGAACTGGATCCCATTTTTGGGATCTTCCCCAGCCCAAACTCCTCAGGAGCTGCAGTCGCTGAGTTATTCCCACCAGAGAATTCCAGGGAAGAGAGGAGAGATGGGAAAAGGGGGGAAAAGAGGGAAACGGAGAAGCTGCGGCTGCTCCTGGATCCCCAGGAATGTCCCAGGAAAGGCTGGAGCAGCCCGGGAATAGCGGGGGGTGCCGGGGTTGGAATGGGATGGGATTGAGGGTCCCTTCCCACCCAACCCATCCCGGGATTCCCGGGATTCCCGCTGCTGCTGCTCTCGGGGTGGCGACGGAAACCGGGATAAGTTGGGGATTTGGGAATTCAGGATGGGAATCCTCCTCCACATTCCACGATCCCAGGGTGATCCAACCTTTCCCTGGACACTGCCAGGGACCCAGGGATTCTCTGGGAATTCCAGCCCGGCCAGGAATCCCTTCCCAAGATCCCACCCCAAGCTCCCCTTTCCCAAGGAATTCCCTCCATTCCCAGCTCTCCCAGGTTGGGGTTGGATCCAGCCCCATCCCGACTCCTCCTTCACAAGGAATTTTGGGAATTCACTGGGAACTGGGGACTCCAGGAAGGGTCTCCCTTCCCTTTTCCATCCCTGAATTCCATAAAAATCCCTTGGGATGGATCCTGAGTGTCCTTGATCCCAGAATGGTTTGGGATGGGATCCATTGACCTTCAAATCCCTGATCCCAGAGACACTTCCACGATCCCAGGGTGATCCCAATCCACCCTTGGACACTGCCAGGGATCCAGGGATTCTCTGGGAATCCCAGCCCAGCCAGGAATCCCTTCCCAGGATCCCAGCATCCCAAGCTCCCCTTTCCCACTGGAAGCCATTCCCTGGCTCCTGCCCCTCCAGCCCTTGCCCCAATCCCAGCTCTCCTGGAGCCCCTTTGGGATGGGGAAGCGGCTCCAAGGATTCCCTGGATTCTCCCCTGATCCAGCTGCACATTCCCAGCTGCTCTCCCAGCCTGGCGTTGGATCCAGCCCCATCCCAACCCCTCCTTGAGAAGGAATTTCAGGATCCAGGGGCTTCACTAGGAGTCCCGAATTCCATAAAAATCCCTCGGGATGGATCCTGCGCACCCTTGATCCCGGAATTCCCGGCACCGCTCCACCCTCTCCCCCACCCCATTTTGGGGACGAACCCCCCAATCCCGGCCCTGTCTCTTCCCAATCCCTGGGGATTTCTGGATGTGAGGAGCCGGGGCCGCTCCAGGATCCCGACCCCATCCCGAGGCGGGAGCCGCATCCCTGGCCCCGTTCCCGGGATTTTCCATCTGGATCCCATCAGCTCCATCCCTTTCCCCCGTCCCACGCAGCCCGCGGGAGCAATCCCGCTCTCCCAGGGAAAGGGCGGGATTTTCCTGCCCGGCTCGGCCTTTTTGGGATCGTTTCCCATCCCGTGTTTTCCTTTCTCCCGGGTTTTCGGGTGTTGTTTGTTGTTCCTGGAGCATCCCCGAGCCTTTCCTTGGGATCGGGCCAGGCTTGGCCAAGCCGGGATCGGCAAATCAGGGCCTGGAAAAGCTGGGAATGAGGGAGGAGGAGGCGCCCGAGAGCCAAGGAATGTCCGAGCTCGTTAGTGAGGTCATTAACGGGATGTTGAACCATGACTGGGATATGGAATCATTCCCGGGATATGGAATCATTCCTGGGATATTGAACCATGACTGGGATATGGAATCATTCCCGGGATATGGAATCATTCCCGGGATATCAAACCATGACTGGGATATGGAATCATTCCCGGGATATGGAATCATTCCCGGGATATGAAACCATGATTGGGATATGGAATCATTCCCGGGATATGGAATCATTCCTGGGATATCAAACCATGATTGGGATATGGAATCATTCCCGGGATATGGAATCATTCCCAGGATATTAAACCATGACTGGGATATTGAATAATGCCCAGGATATCAAACCATTATTTCGATACTGAATAATTCCTGGGATATTGAATCATTCCCAGGATATCAAACCATGATTGGCATATGGAATAATGCCCAGGATATTAAACCATGGCTGGGATATGGAATCATTCCCGGGATATTAAACCATGATTGAGATATTGAATAATTCCCAGGATATTAAACCATGATTGGGATATGGAATCATTCCTGGGATATTGAATCATTCCCAGGATATTAAACCATGATTTTGATACTGAATAATTCCCAGGATATTAAACCATGATTGGGATATGGAATCATTCCCGGGATATTAAACCATGATTGGGGTATGGAATAATTCCTGGGATATGCAATAATTCCCGGGATATCAAACCATGATTGGGATATGGAATCATCCCTGGGATATTAAACCATGGCTGGGATATGGAATCATTCCCAGGATATTAAACCATGATTGGGATATTGAATAATTCCCAGGATATTAAACCATGATTGGGTTATGGAATAATTCCCAGGATATTGAACCATGATTGGGATATGGAATCATTCCCAGGATATTAAACCATGGCTGGGATATGGAATCATTCCCAGGATATTAAACCATGATTGAGATATTGAATAATTCCCAGGATATTAAACCATGATTGGGTTATGGAATCATTCCCAGGATATTAAACCATGATTTCGGTACTGAATAATTCCCAGGATATGGAATAATTCCCGGGATATCAAACCATGATTGGGGTATGGAATCATTCCCGGGATATTAAGCCATGATTGGGATATGCAATCATTCCTGGGATATTAAACCATGATTTCGGTACTGAATAATTCCCAGGATATGGAATCATTCCCGGGATATCAAACCATGATTGGGATATGGAATCATTCCCGGGATATGGAATCATTCCCAGGATATTGAACCATGATTGGGATATGGAATCATTCCCAGGATATAAAATCCTGATTGGGATATGGAATCATTCCCAGGATATCGAACCATGGCTGGGATATGGAATCATTCCCAGGATATTGAACCATGAATGGGATATGGAATCATTCCTGGGATATGGAATCATTCCTGGGATACAGAACCATGAGAGAGATATGGAATCATTGCTGGGATATTGAATCATTCCCGGGATATTAAACCATTATTAGGATACTGAATAATTCCCGGGATATCAAACCATGACTGGGATATGGAATCATTCCTGGGACATGGAATCATTCCTGGGATATGGAATCATTCCCAGGATATGGAATCATTCCCAGGATATCAAACAGGCAGGAATGTTTATCCAGCTGCCCCCGACCCCCTGGCATTGCCCTTTCCCATGGATACCATTCCATGATTTCCTGGTGCTCCCTCAGGGATTTGGGAATCCCCACCCCTGGCCCCAAATGAGGCGTTTTTAGCCCCAAAGGGGCTTTTCCACCTCCACGGGGGGAATTTCATCCCCAAATCCCGGGGTTTGCTGCCCTTTTTGGGATCTGCAGTCAGGAATTCCAGGAGCTCCGGGCCTTTGTCTTCCCTCTGCCGCAGGCGCCTTCCCAGAGGATTTTTGGGAATTGCCATTTTTGGGAGTAGGGATGGGAAATGGGATATTGGGAGTGATGGGGGTTTGGCGGGATTTATGGGGTCCGGGGGGGGGTCACAGAGGGATGGGAATTTCTGGGAATTCCTGAGGATTCCTGAGGATTTCTGAGGGTCCAGGGGCATCAAAGAGGGATGGGAATTTATGGGGATTTATGGGAATTCCTGGGGATTTATGGGAATTCCTGGGGATTTTTGGGAATTTATGGGGGTCCAGGAGCATAAAGAGGGATGGGAATTTCTGGGAATTTCTGGGGATTTCTGGGAATTTCTGGGGGTCCAGGGGTATCAAAGAGGGATGGGGATTTCTGGGGATTTCTCTGAATTTCTAGGGATTTCTGGGAATTTCTGGGAATTTCTAGGGATTCCTGTGAATTTCCAGGGGTTTCTGTGAATTTCTGTGAATTTCTGGGGATTTCCAGGGATTTCTGTGAATTTCTGTGAATTTCTGGGGATTCCTGTGGATTTCCGGGAATTCCTGGGAATTCCTGTGGATTTCTGGGAATTCCTGTGGATTTCTGTGGGGGGTCAGTGCACCCCCAGGATTCCGTCTCCTCTCTTCGCAGGCGAGCGCGGCCCCAAGGGGGACAAGGGGGACCGGGGTGACCGAGGAGCCGCGGGTGGCACCGGTGAGTCCCGGGCGCTCCCCACGGAGATCCCGGCGCGGAGCCTGGGGAGAGCTTTGGGAACTGGGAGCCCAGGGAGGGGAAATTCCTGAGGGAAAGAGGAATTCCTGACGCTGGGAAAACCGTCCCGGGGTTCTCCTGCGATTCCAGGGACATCCCAGCCTGGGGACGTTGTCCAGGGAATCCCAGGGACATCCTGGGGACATTGTCCATGGAATCCCAGGGACATCCCGGCCTGGGGACATTGTCCATGGAATCCCAGGGACATCCTGGGGACATTGTCCATGGAATCCCAGGGACATCCCGGCCTGGGGACGTTGTCCAGGGAATCCCAGGGACATCCCGGCCTGGGGACATTGTCCATGGAATCCCAGGGACATCCTGGGGACATTGTCCAGGGAATCCCAGGGACATCCCGGCCTGGGGACATTGTCCATGGAATCCCAGGGACATCCCGGCCTGGGGACATTGTCCATGGAATCCCAGGGACATCCTGGGGACATTGTCCATGGAATCCCAGGGACATCCCGGCCTGGGGACGTTGTCCAGGGAATCCCAGGGACATCCCGGCCTGGGGACATTGTCCATGGAATCCCAGGGACATCCTGGGGACATTGTCCATGGAATCCCAGGGACATCCCGGCCTGGGGACATTGTCCATGGAATCCCAGGGACATCCCGGCCTGGGGACATTGTCCATGGAATCCCAGGGACATCCCAGCATGGGGACATTGTCCATGGAATCCCAGGGACATCCTGGGGACATTGTCCATGGAATCCCAGGGACATCCCGGCCTGGGGACATTGTCCAGGGAATCCCAGGGACGTCCCGGCCTGGGGACATTGTCCATGGAATCCCAGGGACATCCTGGGGACATTGTCCATGGAATCCCAGGGACATCCCAGCATGGGGACAGCATCCCTGGAGATTCCACCATGGATGGTGTCAGCTTGGATGATGTCACCATGTGGGAGGTCCCCATCCCCCTGAGATGCCACAATCCCTGGGGATGTCACCCTGGATTATTCCACCATGGATGATGTCACCATGGATGACGTCACCGTGGATGATGTCACCGTGGATGATGTCACCGTGGATGACGTCACCCTGGATTATTCCACCATGGATGACATCACCATGGATGACGTCACTGTGGATGACGTCACCATGGGTCATGCCGCCATGGCTGATGCCCGCACGGCTGCTGTCCCCATCCCCATGGCTGCTGTCCCCATCCCCATGGCTGCTGCCCCCATGGCTGCTGTCCCCACGGATGGTGTGCCCACGGATGGTGTCCCCATGGCTGCTGCCCCCATGGATGGTGTCCCCATGGCCATGGCTGATGTCCCCATGGATTTCATTCCCACGGCTGCTGTCCCCATGGCTGCTGTCCCCACTGATGCTGTCCCCATGGATGACATCCCCATGGCTGCTGTCCTGCTGTCCCTGTCCCCCTGGCCGCTGTCCCCAGGTCCCTCCTGCTGTCCCTCAGCTCCATCCAAGGTCTCGGTTCAGCTGGTGAACAGCTCCTGTCCCCACGTTTACTGTCCCCATGTCCATCCTGGTGTCCCCATGTCCCTCCTGGTGTCCCCATGTCCATCCTGCTGTCCCCATGTCCCTCCTGCTGTCCCTCAGCTCCATCCAAGGGCTCGGTGCGGCTGGTGAATGGCTCCTGTCCCCATGTCCCTCCTGGTGTCCCCACGTCCATCCTGCTGTCCCCATGTCCCTCCTGGTGTCCCCATGTCCATCCTGCTGTCCCCATGTCCCCATGTCCATCCCAGCTCCGTCGGAGGGCTCGGTGCGGCTGGTGAACGGCTCCTGTCCCCATGGATTACATCCCCACGTTTACTGTCCCCATGTCCCTGCTGGTGTCCCCATGTCCCTCCTGCTGTCCCCCAGCTCCATCGGAGGGCTCGGTGCAGCTGGTGAACAGCTCCTGTCCCCATGGATTACATCCCCATGTTTACTGTCCCCATTCTTTCCTGGTGTCCCCATGTCCCCCCTGGTGTCCCCATGTCCATCCCAGCTCCGTCGGAGGGCTCGGTGCAGCTGGTGAATGGCTCCTGTCCCCATGTTTAATGTCCCCATGTCCCTGCTGGTGTCCCCATGTCCATCCTGCTGTCCCCATGTCCTTCCTGGTGTCCCCATGTCCATCCTGGTGTCCCCATGTCCATCCCAGTTCCCTCGGAGGGCTCGGTGCGGTTGGTGAACGGCTCCGGGGCCCACGAGGGGCGCCTGGAGATTTTCCACGAGCGGCGCTGGGGCTCGGTGTGCGACGACGGCTGGGACGGGCGGGACGGGGACGTGGCGTGCCGCATGCTGGGCTACCCCGGCGCCGCCGACGTCTTCCGCATGGCGCGCTTCGGACAAGGTGCGCCAAACAGCGGGAACGGCAGAGGGAACGGGATGCGGGAACGGGATTCGGGAACGGGAACGGGAACGGCTCCGCGGCAACGGGATTCGGGATGGGGAACGGGATTCGGGAATGGGAACGGGAACGGGATTCGGGATGGGCTCCTGTGGGATTCAGGAACGGGATTCGGGATGGGGAACCGCTCCTGTGGGATTCAGGAACGGGATTCGGGATGGGGAATGGGATTCGGGATGGGGAACAGCTCCTGTGGGATTTGGGAACGGGATTCGGGATTGGGAACAGGATTCAGGATGGGGAACGGCTCCTGTGGGACTCGGAAACAGGATTTGGGATTGGGAATGGGATTTGGTATGGGGAATGGGATTCAGGATGGGGAATGGGATTCAGGATGGGGAATGGCTCCTGTGGGATTTGGGAACGGGATTCGGGATTGGGAACAGGATTCGGGATTGGGAACAGGATTCGGGATTGGGAACAGGATTCAGGATGGGGAACAGCTCCTGTGGGACTCGGAAACAGGATTTGGGATCAGGAACGGGATTTGGGATGGGGAACGGCTCCTCAGGATTTGGGAACAGCTCCTTGGGATCCCAGGGAAAGGCTCCTTGAGATTGGGAACAGGATTTGGGATGGGGAATGGGATTCGGGATGGGGAACGGCTCCTGTGGGACTTGGAAACAGGATTTGGGATTGGGAATGGGATTTGGTATGGGGAATGGCTCCTGTGGGATTTGGGAACGGGATTCGGGATTGGGAACAGGATTCAGGATGGGGGATGGCTCCTGTGGGATTCAGGAACGGGATTCAGGATTGGGAACGGGATTCAGGATGGGGAATGGCTCCTGTGGGATTTGGGAACGGGATTTGGGATGGGGAATGGGATTCAGGAGTGGGAACAGGATTCAGGATGGGGAACGGCTCCTGTGGGATTCAGGAATGGGATTTGGTATCGGGAACGGGATTCAGAATGGGGAACAGCTCCTGTGGGACTTGGAAACAGGATTTGGGATGGGGAATGGGATTTGGGATCGGGAATGGGATTCGGGATGGGGAATGGCTCCATGGGACTCGGAAACAGGATTTAGGATTGGGAACAGCTCCTGTGGGATTCGGGAACAGCTCCTGTGGGATTTGGGAATGGCTCCTGTGGGATTTGGGAACGGTTCCTGTGGGATTTGGGAATGGCTCCTGTGGGATTCGGGAATGGCTCCTTGGGATTTGGGAATGGTTCCTGTGGGATTCGGGAATGGCTCTTTGGGATTTGGGAATGGTTCCTGTGGGATTCGGGAATGGCTCTTTGGGATTTGGGAATGGCTCTTTGGGATTTGGGAATGGTTCCTGTGGGATTCGGGAATGGCTCTTTGGGATTCGGGAATGGGTCATCGGGATCCCAGGGATCGGTTCCTGGGGTTTCGGGAATGGCTCCCATGGGATCCCCGGTAGTTCCGGTGTCCGTGTGTCCGTCCGCAGGCTCCGGGAAGATCTGGATGGACGACGTCTCCTGCACGGGCACCGAGGAGTCCCTGGAGCTCTGCAGCTTCTCGGGCTGGGGCCGCACCAACTGCGGCCACGCCGAGGACGCCGGAGTGCGCTGCCGGACAGACTGACAGCGAGCGGACAGACAGACTGACACCGAAACACACCCATAACAGACTGACACCGAGCGGACAGACTGACACCGAACGGACAGACTGACAGCGACCGGACAGACTGACAGCGAACGGACAGACAGACACCGAACAGACAGACTGACAGCGAATGGACAGACAGACTGACACCGACCGGACAGACTGACAGCGAGCGGACAGACTGACACCGAACGGACAGACTGACACCGACCGGACAGACAGACTGACACTGAACGGACAGACAGACTGACACCGAAACACACCCATAACAGACTGACACCGAACAGACAGACTGACAGTGAGCGGACAGACTGACTGACACCGACCGGACAGACTGACACCGAGCGGACAGACTGACACCGAACGGACAGACTGACACCGAACGGACGGACAGACTGACACCAAAATCCACCCCATCCCATAGGGACTGACCCCAAATCCACCCCATGAGGGACTGACCCCAAACCCATCCCAAAGGGCCAGGGACTGACCCCAAACCCTCCCCAAAAGGGACTGACCCCAAACCCACCCTAAACGGGACTGACCCCAAATCTGTCCCAGAGGGAATGACCCCAAAATCCATCCCATAAGGGAATGACCCCAAAATCCAGCCCATAAAGGAATGACCCCAAACCTGCCCCAAAGGGAAACCTGAAAGCTGCCCCAAGGGACTGACCCCAAACCCATCCCAAAAGGGAATGACCCCAAATCCACCCCATAACGGACGGACCCCAAAATCCACCCCAAAAGGGACTGACCCCAAAATCTGCCACAAGGGACTAACCCCAAATCCATCTTAAAGGGCTACGGAATCACCCCAAACCCATCCCATAAGGGAATGACCCCAAACCCGCCCCAAAAGGAAACCCCAAACCTGCCCCAAAGGGAAACCACAAACCTGCCCCAAAGGGACTGACCCCAAATCCATCCCATAACAGAATGACCCCAAACCTGCCCCAAAGGGGAAAACCCCAAACCCATCCCAAAGGGGAAAACCCCAAACCCATCCCAAAGGAGCCAGGCAAGATCCCAAATGGATGATCCCAAACCCATCCCAAAGGGGCCGGGCAAGATCCCAAAAAGGACGACCCCAAACCCACCCCAAATCCCCATCCCCAGCCTGGATCCCAGGGAATGGGATCGTTCCCAGAGAAATAAAGGATTTGTGCTTCTCCCGGTGGGGTTTGTGGGATTTATGGGGTTTTATAGGGTTTTTGGGGCTTATGGGGTTTTATGGGGTTTATGGGGTTTATGAGGTTTAATGGGATTTTGGGGGTTTTGTGGGGTTTATGGGATTTGTGGGATTTATGGGGTTTTACAGGGTTTATGGGGTTCATGGGGTTTATGGGGTTTTATAGGGTTTATGGGGTTTATGGGGTTGATGGGGTTTATGGGGTTTTACAGGGTTTATGGGGTTCATGGGGTTTATGGGGTTTTTATAGGGTTCATAGGAGTTTATGGGGTTTATAGGGTTTTAGGGGGGTTTCTGGGGATTTATGGGGTTTATGGGAGTTTATGGGGTTTTATGGCGTTTTGGGTTTATGGGGTTATGGGGTTTTTATGTGGTTTATGGGGTTTTATGAGGTTTATATGGGTTTATGGGGCTTTTGGGGGTTTATGGAGTTTATGGGGTTTTATAGGTTTTATGGGGGTTTATGGGGTTTTGAGGTTTATGGCAATTTCTGGGTTTTATGGGGTTTATTGGGGTTTATAGGGTTTAATGGGGTTTTACGGAGTTTATGGGGTTTTATGGGGTTTATGGGGTTTATGGGGTGTTTATGGGGTTTTTATAGGGTTTATGGCATTTATGGGGGCTTATGGGGTTTATGGGGATTTATGGAAATTTAGGGGGATTTGTGGGGTTTTATGGGGGGTGGTTGAGGGATTTACGGGGTTTGTGGGGTTTGGGGGGATTTTATGGGGTTTAGTGAGGCTTCATGGGGGTTTAGGGGATTTATGGGGTTTTATGGGGTTATGGGGTTCACAGGGTTTATGGGGGTTTAGAGGATTTATGGGGGTTTATGGGGCTTTATAGGGTTTTATTGGGGTTTGGGGGATTTTTGGGGTTTTAGGGCGGTTTATGGGGATTTCGGGGGTTTTATTGGGGTTTAGGGGATTTATGGGGTTATGGGGAAATTTTATGGGGTTTAAAGCGGTTTATGGGATTTAGGGCGTTTACATTTACGGGGTCTATGGCGTTTAGAGGTATTTTGGGGGTTTTATGGGGTTTTACGGGGTTTGAGGGATTTATGGGGGTTTAGGGGGATTTTTGGGGTTTTATGGGAGTTTGAGGGATTTATGGGGTTGTATGGGGCTTTTATGGGGTTTTATGGACATTTATGGATTTTTGTGGGGGTTTAGGGCATTTATGTGGTTTTATGGACATTTTTGGGGGTTTTATGGGGGTTTAGGGCATTTATGTGGTTTTGTGGACATTTTTGGGGTTTTTATGGGGTTTTCGGGGCTTTATTTGTTTCCACGGACTCCCCCGCCTCCTCCTTGATCCTTCCCAGCCCCACGGAGCCCCCGGAGCGCCCCCAACCCGCCCCCCCCGCTGCTTTTGGGGCCGCCCCAAAACCCCTCGGCACCGCCCGGGCCACGCCCACTCCGCGCTGACCACGCCCCCGCACTGCGCGCGCCGCTTACGTCACCCCGCCAGCTCGGCTCGGCCACGCCCCCTCGCTCTGACCACGCCCCGCGCCTGCCCGCGCGCTGCTTTGGCCACGCCCACACCCCCCGCCCCCTCTCGCCATATTTGGTGCCTGGCCACGCCCCAGGAAGGGGCGGGGCCGGCGCCAGCGCGCGCGCGCGATTCGAACGCGGCGCCCCGAAAACGGCCGGAAAAGGCGGGAAAAGGATCCCAGGAATTCCCCGGGAATTCCCTGGGATCGGGAGCGGGAAAAGGACCCCGGAGCTCCCCGGGACCGGCACCGGGAGCGGGAAGAGGATCCCGGAATTGCCGGGGATCGGCCCCTGGAAAAGGCTCCCGGAGCTCCCCGGGACCGGCGGCCGCAGCCAGCGAACCCCGGACCGAGGTGGGACCGGCGGCTCTTGCTGGGAACCCCCGGAGCTGGGATCGACCCCAAAATCTTGGGATCCCCCCCCCAAATTCCCGAATCCCAACCCTGGATCCCCATCCCTGGGCTGGGATCCTCCCCGCTCCACAATTCCCCAGTTTGGGATCCCCCAGCCTGGCACCATCCCAGTTCCCGGGGCCGGGATTTCGGGGATCCCCTCAATTCCCGCATCTGGGACTCCCCCATTCCCTGGTTTGGGATTTCCTCCCCCCCGCCCATGCTGGAATCTCTTGGGATCTCCTCCATCCTCCAGTTTGGGATCTTTCCAGCCTGGAACCCCCAAATTCCCAAATCTGGGACCTCCCAAATCATGGGACTCCCCAAATTCCCAAATGTGGGACCACCCAGTTCCCAAATCCAGGATTTCTCCAATTCCCAAATCCAGCTCTCCCCAGTTCCCAAATCCAGGCCTCCCCAGTCCCCCAAATTTCCTCCAGTTCCCAAATCCAGGATTTCCCCAATTCCCAAAATTCCCCCCAATTCCCAAATCCAGGATTCCCCAAATCCAGGCCCCAACAATTCCCAAATCCAGGATTTCCCCAATTCCCAAAATTCCCCCCAATTCCCAAATCCAGGATTCCCCAAATCCAGGCCCCAACAATTCCCAAATCCAGGATTTCCCCAATTCCCAAAATTCCCCCCAATTCCCAACCCGCCCCCCAGTGCCCTCGGGGTCCCTCCACGTCCCCTCGTGCCCCGCAGGATCGGGATCGGGATCGGGATCGGCTCCATGGACACCTTCCAGTCCCCCACGCCCTCGGCGCGCCGGGACAAAGCGGGTGAGGAACAGCGGGACAGGCCTGGAACGATCCCAAAGGGATTGGGGTGGTCCCGAGGGGATGAGAGTGTTCCCAAAGGGATTGGGATGGTCCCAAAGGGATGGGGATGGTCCCAGAGGGATTGGGATGGTCCCGAGGGGATGAGAGTGTTCCCAAAAGGATGGGGATGGTCCCAAAGGGATGGGGATGGTCCCAGAGAGATGGGGATGCTCCCAAAGGGATGGGGATGCTCCCAAAGGGTTTGCGATGTTCCCAAAGGGATTGGGATGGTCCCAAAGGGATTGGGATGCTCCCAAAGGGATCGGGGTGGTCCCGAGGGGATGAGAGTGCTCCCAAAGGGATTGGGATGGTCCCAAAGGGGTCGGGATGCTCCCAAGGGGATGAGAGTGTTCCCAAAAGGGTGGGGATGCTCCCAAAGGGATGGGGATGGTCCCAGAGGGATGGGGATGCTCCCAAAGGGATCCGGATGTTTGGTCCCAGAATGATGTCAAAGGGATGGGAATGTTCCCAAAGGGTTTGGGATGTTCCCAAAGGGATTGGGATGGTCCCAAAGGGATTGGGATGTTCCCAAAGGGGTCGGGATGTTCCCAGAGGGATCGAGATGGTCCCAAAGGGAATCGGGATGCTCCCAAGGGGATGAGAGTGTTCCCAAAAGGGTGGGGATGGTCCCAAAGGGGTTGGGATGGTCCCAAAGGGATCCGGATGTTTGGTCCCGGAATGATCCCAAAGGGATGGGAATGTTCCCAAAGGGATTGGGATGTTCCCAAAGGGGTCGGGATGGTCCCAGAGGGATCGAGATGGTCCCAAAGGGAATCGGGATGTTTGATCCTGGAATGTTCCCGAAGGGGTGGGGATGGTCCCAAGGGGATGAGAGTGTTCCCAAAAGGGATGGGGATGTTCCCAAAAGGGTTTGGAATGTTTCCAAAGGGATCAGGATGTTCCCAAAAGGGATGGGGATGTTTGATCCCGGAATGTTCCCGAAAGGGTGGGGATGGTCCCAAAGGGGTCGGGATGCTCCCAAAGGGGTCGGGATGCTCCCAAGGGGATGAGAGCGTTCCCAAAAGGATGGGGATGTTCCTAAAGGGGTCGGGATGTTCCCAGAGGGATCGAGATGGTCCCAAAGGGATTGGGATGTTTGATCCTGGAATGTTCCCAAAGGGATGGGGATTGTCCCAAAGGGATTGGGATGGTCCTGAGGGGATGAGAGTGTTCCCAAAAGGATGGGGATGTTCCCAAAGGGATCCGGATGTTTGGTCCCGGAATGATCCCAAAGGGATTGGGATGTTCCCAAGGGGATCAGGATGTTCCCAGAGGGATCGAGATGGTCCCAAAGGGATGGGGATGTTTGATCCTGGAATGTTCCCAAAGGGATGGGGATGGTCCCAAAGGAATCGGGATGGTCCCAAGGGGATGAGAGTGTTCCCAAAGGGGTTGGGATGTTTCCAAAGGGGTTGGGATGTTTCCAAAGGGATCCGGATGTTTGATCCTGGAACACTCCCAAAGATGTTCCCAAAAGGATGGGGATGCTCCCAAAGGGATGGGAATATTCCCAAAGGGTTTGGGATGTTTCCAAAGGGATCGGGATGTTCCCAAAGGGATCGGGATGTTCCAAGGGGATGAGAGTGTTCCCAAAAGGGTTTAGGATGCTCCCAAAGGGGTTGGGATGTTTGATCCTGGAATGCTCCCAAAGATCTTCCCAAAGGGATGGGGATGCTCCCAAAAGGATGGGAATATTCCCAAAGGGTTTGGGATGTTTCCAAAGGGATCGGGATGGTCCCAAAGGGATGGGGATGTTCCCAGAGGGATGGGATATTTCCAAAGGTATTGGGATGTTTGATCCCAGGATGATCCCAAAGGGATCAGGATGTTCCCAGAAGGATCGGGGTGTTCCCAAAGGGGTTGGAGCGTTCCCAAAGGGGTGGGAGCGTTCCCAAAGGGGTGGGAGCGTTCCCAAAGGGGGTGCCAGGCCCCAGAGGCTGCTCCAGGGGAACGCCCTCATCCCAAATCCGGGATCACGAACGGGAAAGGCCTTGGAAGGATCCCCAGGATGAATTCCAGAGGCTGCTCCGAGCCCTGCCCAACCTTTCCTGGGACAATCCCACAGATTCCCAGGAAAGCCCTGCCAGTCCCTCCCCCTTCCTCCTCTTCCTCCCAGTTTTATCCCGGAGCACATCCGGGTGGGAAATCCCTGGGATCAGCTGGGATTGGTTTTCCATTCCCATTCCCAATCCCCATTCCCATTCCCGTTTCCATCCCCATTTCCCATCCCTGTTTTCCCATTGGTTCCCATTTCCCATGCCAGCTCCTTGTGCTGCCCAGAATTCCCCTCTGGAATTGGGGCTGGATCTGCGGGGTCTCCGTTTTTTAGGGAACAAACCCCTCCAGGGAACGGAGCCGGAATTTGGGAAAACACTGGGGGGGGGGGGGGGGTTGGAAGGAGCTTCCCTAAAAATCCGGGTCAGGAATGGGCTCGGAGCATCCCGTGGGAATCAGGGAATATTTCGGGTCAGGAATTCAATTCCGGCCGTTCCCGGCTCTGCCGAGGATCCGTGACCTCGAAATCCCCCAGGATTTAAATCCCACTGGGAATGGGGACTCCAGGGCTGGGAATTCCAGGCAGGAACTGTTCCCAAAATCCAACTGAACTTCCCCTGGAAGCTCGAGGCCGATCCCTCCCATCCCGTGGGTGATTCCCGAGGAGCAGATCCAGGATTTCCCGTGGGATCAGCATGAAATCCCAGCAGGGATTCCTGTGGGATCAGCAGATCCCAATCCCAGTGGGATTTCCCATGGGATCAGCAGATCCTGATCCCAGCGGGATTTCCATGGGATCAGCAGATCCCAATCCCAGTGGGATTCCCGTGGGATCAGCAGATCCCGATTCCAATTGGATTTCCTGTGGGATCAGCAGATCCCAATCCCAGTGGGATTCCTGTGGGATCAGCAGATCCCAATCCCAGTTGGATTTTCCCATGGGATCAGCAGATCCCAATCCCAGGGGGATTTCCCATGGGATGAACAGATCCCAATTCCAACGGGATTGCCCATGGGATCAGCAGATCCCAATCCCAGTGGGATTTTCCCATGGGATCAGCAGATCCCGATCCCAGCGGGATTCCCATGGGATCAGCAGATCCCGATCCCAGCGGGATTTCCCTGGGATGAGCAGATCCCGATCCCAGCGGGATTTCCCTGGGATTACCGGGAATTCCCCCCGCAGAGCCCGGCCCCGTGTCCGTGACCATCCCGGCCTCTCCCTTCATGCAGAAGTTGGGATTCGGCACCGGAGTCAGCGTCTACCTGATGAAAAGGTTGGGAATGGCCCCGGGAATCATCCCGGGAAACCCCGGAGGTGATCCCGGTTTTCCTCCCCGTGGACACGGAGCCGAGGGAGGGATTTGGGAATTGTGGAGCCAGGAAGGAGCGCGGTGCTGTGGGATAACCCTGTCCTGGCTGGAATTCCGGGATTTGGGATCCATTATTCTGGGATAACCTTGTCCCAGCTGGAATTCCGGGATTTGGGATCCATTATTCTGGGATAACCTTGTCCCAGCTGGAATGCCAGGGATTTGGGCTCCATCATTTTGGGATAACCCTTTCCCAGATGGAATTCCAGGATTTTGGGCTCCATTCTTGTGAATTCCAGGATTTGGGATCCATTATTCTGGGATAACCTTGTCCCAGTTGCAATCCAGGGATTTGGGCTCCATTATTTTGGGATAACCTTTTCCCAGATGGAATTCCAAGATTTTGGGCTCCATCATTTTGGGATAACCCTTTCCTGGCTGGAATTCCAGGATTTTGGGCTCCATCATTTTGGGAGTACCCCACTGGTCTTTCCTTGGATGGAGTTCAGGGATTTGGGGCCATTCCTGGGATAAAACCTGGCTGGAATTCCAGGGATTTGGGGCTCCACTATTATGGGATAACCTTGTCCCAGCTGGAGTTCCAGGATTTGGGCTCCATTCTTGGGAATTCCAAGATTTTGGGCTCCATTATTTCGGGATAACCCATTCCCAGCTGGAATTCCAGGCAGTTTTGGCTCCGTTATTCTGGGATAACCCTTTCCCAGCTGGAATTCTGGGATTTGGGCTCCCTTCCCAGGAATCCAGGATTTTGGGCTCTATTATTTTGGGATAACCCTTCCCTGGCTGGGACTGTGGGATTCTGGGTTTCATTATTTTGGGATAACTTTGTCCCAGCCGGAATTCTGGGATTCGGGCTCCATTCTTGGGAATCCCCAGGTTTTGGGCTCCATTATTTTGGGATAACACTTTCCCAGCTGGAATTCCAGGGATTTTGGGCTCCATTATTTTGGGATAACCCTTTCCCAGCTGGAATTCCAGGGATTTTGGGCTCCATTATTTTGGGATAACCCTTTCCCAGCTGGAATTCCAGGGATTTGGGCTCCATCCCCATGGACCAGCTCCATCGGGGAACGGGGTCGGATAAAAATTCCCTTTCCCTGGAAATTCCCCCGGAGGAATTCGCAGCATCCCCGTCCCGTGGCAGGCGGGGGGGGGTGTGTGGGATCCTTTCCCCGTGGGAATTCCGTGGGAATTCCGGCGTTTTTCCCGGCCCAGGTCCCCGCGGGGGCTGCCCCGCTCCCCCTGGGCCGTGAAGAAAATCAACCCCGGCTGCTCCCAGAGCCAGCGCAGCCTCTTCCAGAGGAGGCTCCGGGAGGAGGCCCGGACCCTGCGGAACCTGCGGCACCCCAACATCGTCGGTGCGGATCCCACGGGAACGCGCGGGGCTGGATCCCGCGGGAACGGCCAGGGGGCGGATCCAGTGGGAACGGAGGGGTTGGAACCATTGGGAATGGGGGCGGATCCATTGGGAATGGACGGGTTGGATGTGATGGGAATGGAGGGGTTGGATCCATTGGGAATGGGGTTGGATCCATTGGGAATGGAGGGGTTGGATGTGACGGGAATGGGGATAGATCAATGGGAATGGGGTTGGATCCTTGGGAATGGAGGGGTTGGGTCCGACAGGAATGGGGATGGATCAATGGGAATGGAGGGGTTGGATCCTTGGGAATGGAGGGGTTGGATGTGATGGGAATGGGGATGGATCAATGGGAATGGGGTTGGATCCATTGGGAATGGAGGGGTTGGATGTGATGGGAATGGGGATGGATCAATGGGAATGGGGTAGGATCCATTGGGAATGGAGTTGGATCCTCGGGAATGGAGGGGTTGGGTCCGACAGGAATGGGGATGGATCAATGGGAACGGAGGGGTTGGAACCATTGGGAATGGGGGCGGATCCATTGGGAATGGACGGGTTGGATGTGATGGGAATGGAGGGGTTGGAACCATTGGGAATGGGCTTGGATCCATTGGGAATGGGCTTGGATGTGATGGGAATGGGGGTGGATCAGTGGGAATGGGGTAGGATCCATTGGGAATGGAGTTGGATCCTCGGGAATGGAGGGGTTGGGTCCGACAGGAATGGGGATGGATCAATGGGAATGGAGGGGTTGGAACCATTGGGAATGGGGATGGATCAATGGGAATGGAGGGGTTGGAACCATTGGGAATGGGGTTGGATCCTTAGGAATGGAGGGGTTGGACCCATTGGGAATGGAGGGGTTGGATGTGATGGGAATGGGGTTGGATCCGACAGGAATGGGGATGGATCAATGGCAATGGAGGGGTTGGATCCATTGGGAATGGGGGCGGATCCATTGGGAATGGACGGGTTGGATGTGATGGGAATGGAGGGGTTGGAACCATTGGGAATGGGGTTGGATATGATGGGAATGGGGATGGATCAATGGGAATGGGGTTGGATCCATTGGGAATGGAGTTGGATCCTTGGGAATGGAGGGGTTGGAACCATTGGGAATGGGGATGGATCAATGGGAATGGAGGGGTTGGAACCATTGGGAATGGAGGGGTTGGATGTGATGGGAATGGGGTTGGATCCTCGGGAATGGAGGGGTTGGATCCGACAGGAATGGGGATGGATCAATGGGAATGGAGGGGTTGGATCCTTAGGAATGGAGGGGTTGGAACCATTGGGAATGGGGGTGGATCCATTGGGAATGGAGTTGGATCCGACAGGAATGGAGGGGTTGGGTCCGACAGGAATGGGGATGGATCAGTGGGAATGGAGGGGTTGGATCCATGCCAATTGGTTGGATCCATTGGGAATGGGGTTGGACGTGATGGGAATGGGGATGGATCCGTGGGAATGGAGGGGTTGGATTTTTTGGGAATGGAGGAGTTGGATCCATTGGGAATGGATGGGTTGGATCCATGGAAAAGGAGGGTTGGATCCATTGGGAATGGAGAGTTTGGATCCGTGGGAATGGAGGGATGGATCCATTGGGAATGGGGTTGGATTTGCTGGGAATTGGGTTGGATTTGTTGGGAATGGAAGGGATGGATCCATGGGAATGGAGGGGGTGGAGCCAGTTCCAGAGAGAGATGAGGGGAATCTGGGACTGGGGAATTCCAGACCTCCCAGTGCCTCTGGAGTTCCCAGGGAAGCCCCCGGATCCCTGGGAGTATCCAAGGATGGATCTGGAGCTCCCTGGGATGGTGGGAGGGGTCAGGGTTGGACTGGGATGGGATTGGAATCCATGAATCCCATCCAGAACATTCCATGATTGTTGCTGCTGTCCCATTCCCATCCCACGGATCCCATTCCTATGGACCCATTCCCATGGATCCCATCCCATTCCCGTCCCGCAGATCCCATCCCATGGATGCCATTCCTGTCCCATTCCCATCGATCCCATTCCCATTGTCATGGATCCCATCCCCATTCCCATTGTCAGGGATTCAATTCCCATAGATCCCATCCCAATGGATCCCATCCCTTTCCCACATTTCATTCCCATTTCATTCCCACGGATCCTGTTCCCATGGATCCCATGGCTCCCATTCCTGCGGATCCCATTCCCATGGATCCCATGGATCCCACTCCCATGGATCCTATTCCCATCCCATGGATCTCATTCACATGGATCCCATTCCCACGGATCCCATTCCCACAGCTCCCATTCCCATGGATCCCATTCCCATCCCATGGCTGCCATTCCCACAGATCCCATGGCTGCCATTCCCATTCCTGTGGATCCCATTCCTACGGATCCCATTCCCACAGCCCGTATTCCCCATGGATCCAATGGATCCCATTCCTATTCCCATGGCTCCCATTCCCACAGATCCCATTCTCACGGATGCCATGGCTCCCATTCCCACGGATCCCATTCCCATCCCATTCCAATTCTCACGGATCCCATGGATCCCATTCTCACGGATCCCATGGATCCCATTCTCATGGCTCCCATTCCCCCAGATCCTCTGGACCCCATTCCCATGGCTCCCATTCCCATGGCTCCCATCCCATTCCCATTCCCATTGATCCCACGGCTCCCGTTCCCATTGATCCCACGGCTCCCGTTCCCGTTTATCCCACGGCTCCCATTCCCATTGATCCCACGGCTCCCGTTCCCGTTTATCCCACGGCTCCCGTTCCCATTGATCCCACGGCTCCCGTTCCCATTTATCCCATGGATCCCGTTCCCATTTATCCCACGGCTCCCGTTCCCATTGATCCCACGGCTCCCATTCCCATTTATCCCATGGATCCCGCTCCCATTCCAGGGTACCGGGCGCTGACGAAGGCTCCGGACGGGAGCCTCTGCCTGGCCATGGAATTCGGGGGGGAGAAATCCCTGAACGACCTCATCGAGGAGCGCCGGGAGCAGGGCCTGGGAATGTTCCCGGCTGCCACCATCCTGCACGTGGCCCTCAGCATGGCCAGGGGCCTCCAGGTACCGGGGAAATCCCGGGAATTCCGGGAAAAAAACCCTGGGATTCCGGGAGAAAAAAAAACTGGGATCCTGGGAGAAAAAACCCCTGGGATTCTGGGGGGAAAAAACCCTGGGATTCTGGGGAAAAAACCCTGGGATTCTGGGGGAAAAAAAAACTGGGATTCTGGGAGAAAAAACCCCTGGGATTCTGGGGGGAAAAAACCCTGGGATTCTGGGAGAAAAAAACCCTGGGATTCCGGGAAAATCCCAGGATTCTGGGATAAAGGGGAGCCAAGGGAGCTTTCCAGCTGCTGGGCGGGTTGGGATAGGGATGGGGATGGGTGGGAGCTTGGGAAGGTCAATTCCCAGTGGGGCTGGAATTCCCAGAGAATCCCGGGGAGAGTCCCAGGAAAGGTTGGAGCGGCCCAGGATCCGGGAATGGGATGGGATGGGATTGAAGGTCCATGGATCCCATCCCAAACCATTCCGGGATTCTGGGATCAGAGACACTCAGGATCCATCCCGAGGGATTTTTATGGAATTCAGGGATGGAAAAGGGAAGGGAGACCCTTCCTGGAGTCCCGAATTCCCAGGGAAGCCCCTGGATCCTGAAATTCCATCCCAGAGAGGAGTTGGGATGGGATCCAATGCCAGGCTGGAGAGCTGGGAATGGAGAGAATTCCTAGGAAAGGGGGAGCTTGGGATTGTGGGATTTGGGAAGGAATTCCCGTCTGTGCTGGAATTCCCAAAGAATCCCTGGCAGTGTCCAAAGAAAGGCTGGAGCAGTCTGGGATCTAGGTTGGAATGGGATGGGATTGAAGGTCCCTGGATCCCATCCCAAACCATTCCGGGATTCTGGGATCAAGGACACTCAGGATCCATCCCGAGGGATTTTTATGGAATTTGGGGATGGAAAAGGGAAGGGAGACCCTTCCTGGAGTCCCGAATTCCCAGAGAAGCCCCTGGATCCCGAAATTCCTTCCCAAGGAGGGATTGGGATGGATGCAATGCCAGGCTGGGAGAGCAGCTGGGAATGTAGGGAATACCCAGCAAAGGGGGAGCTTGGGATTGTGGGATTTGGGAAGGAATTCCCGGCTGGGCTGGAGTTCCCAGAGGATCCCTGGCGGTGCCCAAGGCGCGGGCCGCAGGATTGGGCTGATCCATGGGATCCCTCCGTCCGTGGATTCCGAGCCACGCCTGGAGGTTTCCTGGCTGGATCTGGGGTTTCCCCTCGGTTCCCCTCCCCGATCCCACGGCTCTCCATTCCCGGCATTCCCGGCATTCCCGGCATTCCCGGCAGTACCTGCACACGGAGCAGCGGCTGCTCCACGGCGACATCAAATCCCCCAACGTCGTCGTCCGCGGCGCCTTCGAGGCCGTCAAGATCTGCGACGTCGGCGTCTCCCTGCCCCTGGATGAGAACCTGACAGGTGGGATACCGGGAGCCGTCCCGCGGGAATGGGGGATTCCCATCCCGTGGATCCCATCCCCAATATCCCTTTGATCCCACTGCAGTGAGCGATCCCATTCCCAATTAATTCCAATCCCCAATCCCATTTCCGATCCCACCATCCCACTACAGTGAGCGATCCCATTCCCAATTAATTCCGATCCCCAATCCCATTCCCGATATCCCTTGGTCCCATTGAAGTGAGCGATCCCATTCCCATGGATCCCACTCCCATTCCCACTGTCATGGATCCCATTCCTATTCCAATGGATCCCATCCTGATTCCCATTCCAATGATGTGGGGTTACTGGAAATGTGGGATTCCCAGAAATATGGGATCTCATCCTATTCCCATGGATTACAGTGAGCGATCCCATTCCCAATATCCCTTTGATCCCATTGATCCTGTTGCAGTGAGTGATCCCATTCCTGATCCTGTTCCCCGTATTCTGATCCCATTCCCAATATCCCTCTGGTCCCGTTGCTCCCACTGCAGTGAGCAATCCCATTCCCAGTATCCTGATCCCATTCCCATTGCTCTTGTTGCTCTTGCTGCAGTGAGTGATCCCGTTCCTGATCCCATTCCCAATCCCATTCCCGATATCCCTTTGATCCCTTCGATTGCACTGCAGTGAGCCATCCCATTCCCGATCCATTCCCATTGCCATTCCTGATCCCATTCCCGATCCCTCTGCACCTGCTGCAGTGAGCGATCCCACTCCCATTCCCGATCCCATTCCTGATCCCCCTCCCGATCCCAATCCTGATCCCATTCCTGATATCCTTTTGATCCCATTGCAGTGAGCGATCCCAATCCTGATCCTGATCCCATTGCAGTGAGCGATCCCGATTCCGATCCCAATCCCATTCCCAATATCACTGTGCTCCCGCTGCAGTGAGCGATCCCAATCCCAACATCCCTTTGATCCCATGGATCCCGCTATCCCTGTGCTCCTGCTGCAGTGAGTGATCCCATTCCCGATCCCATGGATCCCGCTATCCCTCCGCTCCCGCTGCAGTGAGCACTCCCATTCCCACTCCCGATCCCACTATCCCATTGAGCCCATTGATCCCGCTTTGTCCCATTATCCCATGGCAGTGAGTGACCCGTCCCTGTGCTACGTGAGATTAATCCCAATCCCAATATCCCATTATTCCCGATTTTTCCCCGTTATCCCATGGCAGTGAGTGACCCGTCCCTGCGCTACGTGGGCACGGAGCCCCATATCCCATTGATCCCATTGATCCCATTGATCCCATTGACCCCATTGACCCCGTTATCCCGTTGTTATCCCATGGCAGTGAGTGACCACTCTCTGTGCTACGTGGGCACAGAGCCCCATTGATCCCATCGATCCCGTTATTCCCAATTTATTCCTGTTATTCCCCCCACAGTGAGCGACCCGTCCCTGTGCTACGTGGGCACGGAGCCCCATTGATCCCATTGATCCCGTTGATCCCATTGATCCCGTTGTTATCCCATGGCAGTGAGCGATCTGTCCCTGTGCTACGTGGGCACGGAGCCCCATATCCCATTGATCCCATTGATCCCATTGACCCCATGGATCCCGTTGAACCGACTGATCCCGTTATCCCATTGTTATCCCATGGCAGTGAGTGACCCCTCTCTGTGCTACGTGGGCACGGAGCCCCATATTCCACTGATCCCGTTGATCCCATTATTCCCAATTTATTCCCATTATTCCCCACACAGTGAGCGACCCGTCCCTGTGCTACGTGGGCACGGAACCCCATATCCCATTGATCCCATTGATCCCGTTATCCCGTTGTTATCCCATGGCAGTGAGTGATCCATCCCTGTGCTACGTGGGCACGGAGCCCCAGATCCCATTGATCCCATTGATCCCGTTATCCCGTTGTTATCCCATGGCAGTGAGTGATCCATCCCTGTGCTACGTGGGCACGGAGCCCCATATCCCATTGATCCCATTGATCCCGTTGAACCCACTGATCCCATTGATCCCGTTATCCCGTTGTTATCCCATGGCAGTGAGTGACCCGTCCCTGTGCTACGTGGGCACGGAGCCCCATATCCCATTGATCCCATTGATCCCGTTATCCCGTTATTCCCCCCACAGTGAGCGACCCGTCCCTGTGCTACGTGGGCACGGAGCCCCATATCCCATTGATCCCATTGATCCCGTTATCCCGTTGTTATCCCATGGCAGTGAGTGACCCGTCCCTGTGCTACGTGGGCACGGAGCCGTGGTCGCCGCCCGAGGCGCTGGAGCCGGACGGGGCCATCTCGGACCGCGCCGACATCTTCGCCTTCGGCCTCACGCTCTGGGAGATGCTGGCCCTGAGCGTGCCCCACCTGCCCCCGCCCCGCGACGGATCCGACGGTACCGGGAAAACAACGGGAATGCTGGGAATTCCGATAATTACGGGAGTTCCTGACGGGGAACGGGTGCCGGGAAGGGATCCGGGGAGTGCTCGGGTGGGAAAGGGGATCCGGGATTTGGGGGAAAGGGGTGGAGGGACAGGGGAGTGAAATGGGATTCCCGCTGGGAAAGGGGAGCTTGGGATTGTGGGGTTTTGGGAAGGAATTCCTGGCTGGGCTGGAATTCCCGGAGATTCCCTGGGAGTGCCCAAGGAAAAGCTGGGATCACCCTGGGAAGATCAGGAAGCGCCGGGCTGGGATCAGGATTCCCGGGATCCACTTCCAACAGCTGCGCCCTGCTGCCATTCCAAAGGGTTGGGATTTTGGGATATCGGGGTTTTGGGATCTTAGGTTTTGGGATTTTGGGGTTTTGGGATCTTGGGATCTCAGGAAGGAGTTCCTGTCTGGGGAGGGGCTGGGCTGGAATTCCCAGAGAATCCCTGGCAGTGCCGGGATCACCCTGGGAGGATGAGGAAGTGCCGGGCTGGGATCAGGGTGGGATTCCTGGGATCCACTCCTGACAGCTGCTCCCTGCTGCCATTCCAGAGGGTTGGGATTTTGGGATATTGGGGTTTTGGGATTTCAGGATTTCGGGATTTTGGGATGGAATTCCCAGCTGGGAGGGTGTGGAGGGGCTGGGCTGGAATTCCCAGAGGATCCCTGGGAAGATCAGGAAGCGCTGGGCTGGAATGTGGCTGGGATTCCTGGGATCCGCTGCCAACGGCCACACTCCTCTGCCATTCCAGAGGGTTGGGATCTTGGGGTTTGGGGATTTTGGGATATTGGGGTTTTGCAATTTTGGGAAGGAATTCCCGGCTGGGAGGGTGAGGAGGGGCTGGGGTGGAATTTCCAGAGAATTGCTGAGAGTGCCCAAGGGAAGGCTGGGATCACCCTGGGATCAGGGCAGAATTCCCAGGATCTGCTTCCAATGGCCACACTCTCCTGCCGTTCCAGAGGGCTGGGATATTGGGGTTTCGGGATCTTGGGAAGGAATTCCTGTCTGTGAGGGCGTGGAGGGCTGGAATTCCCAGCGGATCCCTGGCGGTGTCGGGATCACCCTGGGCACATCGGGAAGCGCCAGGCTGCTATCGGGGCCGGGATTCCCGGGACCCGCTCCCAACGGCCGCACTCTCTCTCTGTCCCTGCCGTAATTCCAGAGGATTCGTGCTCGGAGGATTCCCTGGACGAGGCCGCGTACCAGGCCGCGCTCGGGTCGCGGCCGCCGCTGCCCCCGGAGGCGGCGCGGGAGCCCTCACAGGGCCCCGTGCGGGAGCTCTTCTGCGCATGCACCGCCCGCGAGGCCCCGCGGCGCCCCCCGGCGGCCACCATCGTCACTGCCCTGCTGCAGCTGCCGGAATGCCGGGAACTGCGGGAACAGCAGCCGGGGGGGAGAGCGGGAATGAGGCGGGATAACGGGAATAATGACGGGATTACACAGCCCTGAGGGACAGCGGGAATGAGGGATGGGAATGGTGAGGGATAACAGGGCGGGAATGCCCTCGCAGGGGCCCGTGCCCTTCTGCGCATGCGCTGCCCGCCAGCCCCGCGGCGGCCGTCGTCGTCACTGCCGTGCTGCAGCTGGAGCTGGGAATAATGCCGGGAACGGGAACAACAGCCGGGGGGAGAGCGGGAATGAGGCGGGATAGCGGGAATAATGACGGGATAACACAATCCTGAGGGACAGCGGGAATGAGGGATGGGAATGGTGAGGGATAACAGGGCGGGAATGCCCTCGCAGGGGCCCGTGCTCTTCTGCGCATGCGCCGCCCGCCAGCCCCGCGGCGGCCACCGTGGTCACTGCCCTGCTGCAACTGGAGCCAGGAATAATGACGGGATAACGGGAATAATGACGGGATAACGGAGCGGGAATGAGGGACAGAGGAGTGCCGGGATAGCACAGCCCAAAGGGGGCAGCGGGAATAGCCGGGATAACAGGGCGGGAATGCCCTCGCAGGGACCCGTGCTGGAGCTCTTCTGCGCATGCGCCGCACGCCAGCCCCGCAGCAGCGCCCCCTGGCGGCCGCCATGGTCACTGCAGCGCTGCGGCTGCGGGAATGAGGGGCGGGATAACGGGAATGAGGGGTGGGATATCGGGAATGAGGGATGGGATAACGGGAATGAGGGATGGGATATCGGGAATGAGGGATGGGATATCGGGAATGAGGGACGGGATAACGGGAATGAGGGGTGGGATATCGGGAATGAGGGATGGGATATCAGGAATAACGGCGGGATAACGGGAATGAGGGGTGGGATAACGGGAATGAGGGGTGGGATAACGGGAATGAGGGGCGGGATATCGGGAATAACGGCTGGATAACCACAGAGCGGGAATGAGGGACGGGATATCGGGAGTAATGGTGGGATAACCACGGAGCGGGAATGAGGGACAGCAGGAATGCTGGGATACAGCCCTGAGAGACAGCGGGAATTCTGGGATAACGGCGTGGGAATTCTAGGATAATGGAGTGGGAATTCTGGGATAACGGAGCCATGAGAGCCCAGGACAATGGAGCTGGCATTCCCAGGATTACAGACCTTGAATTCCCAGGATAACAGAGCAGGAATTCTGGGATTATGGAGCTGGGATTTCTGGCATAACAGCCCTGAAAGCCCCGGATTCCAGAGCTGGGATTCCAGAGCTTGGAATTCCTGGGATTCTGGAGCTGGAATTCCCAGGATTCTGGGATTCTGGAGCCCGGCATTCCTGGGATTCCAGAATTTTGGCCCTCCTGGAGTCCCGGTGGGATGTGGTTGTGGAGCCCGGCATTCCCAGGATTCCAGAGCTTAACATTCCCACATTTCCAGAGCCTGAAACTCCTGGAATTCCAGATCCATGCCCATTCCCACATTTCCAGAACCCAACAATTCCCAGAATTCCAGATCCCTGCCCATTCCCAGCTTTCCTTGGGCTGTGCTCCGGAGCCGGGCTCGGACCATCCCATTCCCGGGATTTTAGGGTGGATTTTCCCAAATTTGGGGTCGGATTTTCCCTCCTTTTAGGCTGGATTTCCTTCCTTTTCCCCACTTTTCTGGGCTTTGGGTTTTCCATGGATTTTGGGTTGGATTCTCTCTTTGAGGTTGGATTTTCCCAAATTTTCAGGGCTGGGTTTTCCCTCTGGGGTTGGGATTATCCCAATTTTTTTTTTTGCTGGAGTTTCCCTCTTCCAGGTCAGCTTTTCCCTCCTTTTCCAGTTGGATTTTCCCTCATTTTCAGATCAGATTTTCCCAATTTTTCAGGTTGAATTCTCTCAGGTTGGATCTTCCCTCTTTTTTTGGGCTAGAATTCCCAAGTTTTCCCATTGGATTTTCCCACTTTTCAGGTCAGATTTTCCCTCGTTTTCCCTCTTTTGGGGGTTGGATTTTCCCCCTTTTTCAGGCTGGACTTTCCCTCTTTTAGGTCGGATTTTCCCTCTTTTTTTTCAGTTGGATTTTCCCTCATTTTGGGGCTGGAATTCCCAAATTTAGGTTGGATTTTCCCTCATTTTTGGGCTGGAATTTCCCTCATTTTCCCTCTTTTTGGGGTTTGGATTTTCCCAAGCTTTTTGCTGGAATTTTTCCCCTCTTTTAGGTCAGTTTTTCCCTCTTTTTTTTCAGCTGGATTTCCCCCCTTTTCTGGGCTGGAATTCCCAAGTTTAGGTTGGATTTTCCCTCATTTTTGGTTGGATTTCCCAATTTTCCCCCTCTTTGGGGTTGGGATTTTCCCTTTTAGGTTGGATTTTCCCTCATTTTTTTCCATTGTGTTTTCCCTCATTTTAGGTTGGATTCTCCCTTTTTTTGGTCGGATTTTCCCTCTTTTTCTGGGCTGGAATTCCCCAAGTTTTCCCATTGGATTTTCCCACTTTTATGTTGGATTTCCCTCATTTTCCCACTCTTTGGAGTTTGGATTTTCCTTCGATTTTAGGTCAGATTTTCCCCAAGTTTTCAGGTTGGATTCTCCTAAATTTCAGGTTTGGATTTTCCCAAGTTTTTAGGGTTGGATTTTCCCTCCTTTTTGGGCTGGAATTTCCCCCTTTTAGGTCAGATTTTGACTCCTGTTTTAGTTGGATTTTCCCTCATTTTTGGGCTGGAATTTCCCTCATTTTCCATTTATTTGGTTTGGATTTTCCCAAGATTTTTCCTGGATTTTTCCCCTCTTTTAGGTCAGATTTTCCCTCTTTTTGGGCTTTGGATTTTCCCAAACTTTGGGATGGATTCTCCCTTTGAAGTTGGATTTTCCCAATTTGGGGTTGGATTTCCCAAGTTTCAGGTTTGGATTTTCCCAAGTTTTTAGGGTTGGATTTTCCCTCATTTTTGGGCTGGAATTTCCCTCATTTTCCTTCTTTTTGGGGTTTGGATTTTCCCAAGATTTTTGCTGGATTTTCCCTCTTTTTTTTGGGCTGGATTTTCCTTCTTTTAGGTCAGATTTTCCCTCCTTTTTCTTTGGATTTTCCCTCCTTTTTGGGGCTGGAATTTCCCGAGTTTTCCCATTGGATTTTCCCAAGTTTTGGAGTTGGATTTTCCCAAGTTTTCCCTCAGAAATGTTCCCAATAAATAAATCTGTTCCTCTTGCTGGGATTGCTGGATTTTTCCTTGGGATTTGGATTTTCCAGAGGCGCCGGAGCTTGGATGGAATTTGGGTTCTCTGAGGGGGGAAAATTCCCAAAAAAACCCCTGGAATATTCCTAAAAAAACCCCAAATATCTCCATAAAAACCCAGAATACCCCCCCAAAAAACCCTGGAATATTCCCATAAAACCTTGGGAGTTCCATAAAACCCTGGAACATTTCCATAAATTCCATGGAATCTCGTCATAAAACCTTGGAATATTCCCATTAAAAAAAACGAGAGAACAGAAAACTTTGGAGTATTTTCAGAAATTTATGGAATATCAGAAAACCTTGGAACAGCATCACAAAACCTTGGAATAGTGACAGAAATTTATGGAATATCTTCATAGAAACTTGGGATATTTCAGAAATTTATGGAATATCCACAGAAAACTTTGGGATATTCCCACAAAGCCCTGGAATTCCCTGCCTGGGAGGCTCCAGGTGGGAAAACCCTCGGGCAGAATTCCCAGAATTCCAAGGGAATGCGGAAAATCCGATTCCCATTAACGAAGCCCCGACCCCAATTAACTTAAATCCCAAAAAACGCTCGGGGAAAAAGCAGGAATTGCGGGGGATCCCGGAGAATTCCAGGAATTCCAGTGGAATTCAGCAGCAGCTGGGCAGGAAGGGAGAGGGGAGGGGCTGGCAGGGACATTCCCAAGGGAGAGGAGAATTCCCAAGGGAATCAGGGATCCCAAAGGGAATGAGGGAATGAAGGGAGGGATTCCCAAGGGAAAGGAGAATTCCCAAGGGAATGAGGGACCCCAAAGGAATCAGGGATTCCCAATGGAATGAGGGATCCCAAAGGGAAGGGAATGAAGGGAGGGATTCCCAAGGGAATGAGGGATCCCAAAGGGAATGAGCGGTTCCAGAGGGAAAGGAGAATTCCCAAGGGAAAGGAGAATTCCCAAGGGAATCAGGGATCCCAAAGGAATCAGGGATTCCCAATGGAATGAGGGATTCCAAAGGGAAGGGAAGGGAAGGGAAGGGAGGGATTCCCAAGGGAATGGAGAATTCCCAAGGGAATGAGGGATCCCAAGGGAATGAGGGGTTCCAGAGGGAAAGGAAAATTCCCAAGGGAAAGGAGAATTCCCAAGGGAATGAGGGATTCCAAAGGGAAGGGAAGGGAAGGGAGGGATTCCCAAGGGAAACTTTCCCAAGGGAATGAAGGATTTAGGGAGGGATTCCCAAGGGAAAAGAAGGGAAAGATTCCCCAAAAATGGTGGATTTGGAAGGGATGGGATTTGGGAAAGGATTCCCAAGGGAAGGGGATGGAAGGATTCTGGGAAGGGAAGAATTCCCGAGGGAAAGGAAGGGAACGATTCCCAAAGAAAAGGAAGGGAACGAGGGATTCCAAAGGGAACGAAGGATTTGGAAAGACTGGGAAGGGATCCGGGGAAGGATTCCCAAGGGAGCTGAAGATTTCCAAGGAAGGGAAACTTTCCCAAGGGAATGAAGGATTTGGGAGGGATTTAGGGAAGGATTCCCATGGGAAGAGAAGGGAAAGATTCCCAAAGGAAGGAAGGGAATGAGAGATTCCCAAGGGAAGGAAGGGTGGGTGAGGGGAGGGATTCAGGGAGGGATTCCCAAGGGAATGAGAGATTCCAGAGGGAAGAGGAGGGAAGGATTCCCAAGGGAAGGAGGGAGGGAATGAAGGATTCCCAAGGGAGCTCAGCATTCCCAAGGAAAGGAAGGGAAGGACGCCAGGAAAGGATGGAATCCCAAAGGGAAGGGAAGGATTCCCAAGGGAAGGAAAGGGATTTCGGGAAGGGATTTCAGGAAGGGATTTCAGGAAGAGTTCCTAAAGGAAGGGAAAGAATTCCCGAGGGAAAGAAGGGAATGAGGGATTCC